AGCAAGACACCTTGGAAAGAAGTGTCTTAAATGTAGAATCATGTATTGCTGCTACCTCCATCTGGTCACAGGCCTCCTCCATGGCTTGGATGAGGGGTACCTCAGCTTAGAGACGGAGATCATATACCTTCCACCACTATGCCGAGAAAAACTCTTCTATAGGGTTGAGGAATGGAGATTATGGTGGAAGATATAGGACGGTGAAATGTGGATGTTTTTGAAACCAGTTCTGAACCAGAGGAGAAAGACACATTGTCCCAGACAACAATGTATTGCGTATGATCGATTTGATTTGCTGCTGTTATGATGTACAATTGGTCCAAGAATGTAAGTATATGTGCTGTGTTGTTAGGGCCCATATGGTCATGTCAGTGGAGGACCCCATTCTTTGTAATGGCTGCACAGAGTGTTACTGTATATTTCCCTCACGTTGCCCTGGGACATTGACTATAGCCCTGTGGCCAATGATTTCTTCTACTCTCTGTGTTCTCGTCAGGTTGAACCCAGCCTCATCTACGTAAATGAACTCATGCTGGATCTCCTCTCCATCCATTCATAAAACTACCGGAAGAACAGTGTCAGGCAAAATTGTGTAGTTCAGTGTAGATCTAGTATTACAGTACAGTAAAAGATAATGAGACAGTATGCAGGATCACACTGCTAAAATGAATACACACCTCTGCATAATCATGCCGCAGTCGTTTCACCATGTCTGAATTGCACTCGAAAGGCACTCCATAAAATTGCTTCATTTGAACATGTTTTTTTAGGGTGTGTGCCAGTGTTGATATTGAGACCTGATGGTTTTCATTAAAACTGGCATTTTATAGTGCTTAAACACCTGATTGGTGTGTCTACAATAAATCAAACAAGTGTTTTCACACCTGGGCCCGGTTTTTCAAAAGTAATCCACTAGGATTTTGGATAAGGGATTGGATCAAATCTTGAAAATGTTTTTTTCAAAGCAAAAAACGTATTACCTAATCGGATTAGATCACGTAATCAAATCTTGGTTTTGATCCGGATCAAACCTTTACTTTGGGTTTTTCAGACCTTTTTTGTAGGATTTGGATCACTTTGATCCAAAAAACCTGGATTAAACTGATCCCACCAGAAAGGTGGATTTAGTGTGGATTTCATGCCCAAAATGTAATAAAAACTTAAAAATTTTATTAAATAATACTATTTTTGGATCACACATTATCTTACGAGATATACTATTGATTCATAAGGTTTTAATTTTATTTGTTCATCCATCAGGCTGTAGTGATGATTGGCTTTAACGTATTCAGCTTTTCAGTATAGGCCTACAGCAAAGTAGAAATAGCTTGGCCTCATAAAATAATCCCCCAAACAGCTGTCAAAATTTACCAAAAACAATACATTTTATTGTCAATAATTGATATCTATATTCATCACAATGGAAAATATTTTTGTTTTTAGAATATTTATTAGTGATGCATGCAATGATTACAGAATAACCAAAAAAAAGTGCAAAGAATGGCAATGACTGATTTTTGAAATCTCTTTCAACAATTGCAAAAAGAGACTGAAAGGGCAGAAGCACAGCTTCATCTGGTAGAGGAACAACTGACTCCAAACTGCAGCAAACCAAGGCCAGACTTCAGATCCGCCTCCTAAAGGCTACGCTCAGACAAGCTGCTCTCTCCACATCAGATGAGGAAGTCTGAAATTATTGTGGAGTTTTTGACATTAAGTCTTTTTTTATCTACATCTATATTTGAAACTTATTATAAATATCCTCAATGTACAGTGTTGTAGGTCTCAGATGAGCGGACTGCTGGAAGAGGATGGGGTGGGGTTTTTCTTGTTTTTATTATTTATTATTATTATTTTATTATTTATTAAATTTTCTTAGTTTTCATTTTAAATAAAAATAAAGTTATATCTACCCCACACTGACTATTCTACTTGTTGCTCTTTACACAGGCCTATCTATTTATCTACATTGTGATTGAGCACTGGTAATCCAAATTTAGTGATCCTGAAAAGTTCCTATCCGGATCAGATTGATCCAACCCGATGTTGCTTTGAAAAACTGGCTCAAAAAGTAAGCTGGATTACGTGATCACGGATCGCAAAAACAGGATTACTAAATCCAGATCAATTTGATGCGGATTAAACCTTTTGAAAAACCGGGCCCTGATGACTGTGTTGAACCAGTTGGTTGGACGGTGCAGTAATTTGACAGTCCGTGCTTTGGTATTGCAAGGAAGTGACTTCATGATAGATTTTTGTGTGTAATGTATGTTAAGTGTGTTTAGTGTTTTGCAAATCACTGTGTGTAGAGTTTTGCAACAAGTGTTAAGTTGACCATGTGCTTATAGTTGTGGAAATATGGGCTGATGTTTTGATACTTGTGTGTAAGGTTTTGCTAATAGTGTACTACTTTTAAATTTAGTGTGTAAGCAATCCAAAAAAACTGTAAACACCTGATTGATGTGTCTACAACAGGGGTGGCCAATCCTGTTCCTGGAGATCTACCTTCCTGCATATTTCAGTTGCTACCCATATCAAACACACCTGAACCAATTAATTAGGACCTGCACACCACTTGATAATTAGAGGCAGGTGTGTTTGATATGGGTAGCAACTGAAATCTGCAGGAAGGTAGATCTCTAGGAACAGGATTAAGCACCCCTGGGCCCGGTTTTTCAAAAGGTTTAATCCGAATAAAATTGATCCGGATTTAGTAATCCTGTTTTTGCGATCCGTGATCACGTAATCCAGCTTACTTTTTGAGCCAGTTTTTCAAAGCAACATCGGATTGGATCAATCTGATCCGAATAGGAACTTTTCAGGATCACTAAATCTGGATAACCAGTGCTCAAACAGGATAGGACATCACAATGTAGAACTATAGATATGTAAAGAGTAGAATAGCCAGCATGGGGTCAATATAACTTTATTTTTATTTGAAATTAAAACTAAGAAAATTTGATAATTATTTAAATAATAATATTAATAAATAATAATAAAAACAAGAAAAACAACACCCCATCCTCTTTAAGCAGTCCGCTCATTTGAGACCTACAACACTGTACATTGAGGATATTTATAATAAGTTTCAAATATAGATGTAAATAAAAAAAGACTTAATGTCAAAAACTCCACAATAATATCCGACTTCGTTATCTGATGTGGAGAGAGCAGCTTGTCTGAGCGCAGCCTTTCGGAGGCAGATCTTAAGTCATTGGCCTTGGTTTGCTGCAGTTTGGTCAGAGTCAGTTGTTCCTCTACCAGATGAAGCTGTGCTTCTGCCCTTTCAGTCTCTTTTTGCAATTGTTGAAAGAGATTTCAAAAATCAGTCATTGCCATTCTTTGAATTTTTTTTTTATTCTGTAATCATTGCATGCATCACTAATAAATATTCTAAAAAGAAAAATATTTTCCATTGTGATGAATATACATATCAGTTAGTGACAGAATAAAATGTATTGTTTTTGGTAAATTTTGACAGCTGTTTGGGGGATTATTTTATGAGGCCAAACTCTTTCTACTTTGCTATAGGCCTATACTGAAAGGCTGAATACGTTAAAGCCTATAATCACTATAGCCTGACGAATGAACAAATAAAATGAAAACCTTATGAATAAATAGTATATCTCGTAAGATGGTGCATGATCTAAAAATAGTATTATTTAATACATTTTTTAAGTTTTCATTACATTTTGGGCATGAAATCCACGCTAAATCCACCCTTTTAATGGGATCAGTTTAATCCAGGTTTTTTGGATCAAAGTGATCCAGATCCTACAAAAAAGGTCTGAAAAACCCAAACTAAAGGTTTGATCCGGATCAAAACCAAGATTAGATTACGTGATCTAATCCGATTAGGTAATCCGTTTTTTTTTTTGAAAAACCCATTTTCAAGATTTGATCCAATCCCTTATCCAAAATCCTATTGGATTACTTTTGAAAAACCGGGCCCTGGTCTACAATTAATCAAACAAGTGTTTCCAAACCTGACGACTTCCTACTCTTCTCCTTCCTGTTCTCTCTTCCCTTTGGTAATCTCATCCCTCCATTTGTATCATATATCTTTTGTACTCATACTTTTTCCTACATTATGAGCTCTACACTCCTATCCAGTAGGTGGCGGAAATGCACCATATAAGTCGGTCTGCCAACCGCCATTAACCCCATAAGAAGAAGGTGAAGAAGAAGAACACCTGACGACTGTGTTGAACCAATTGGTTGGACGGTGCGGTAATTTGACAGTCAGTGCTTTGGTATTGCAAGGAAGTGACTTCATGATAGATTTTAGTGTGTAATGTATGTTAAGTGTGTTTAGTGTTTTGCAAATCACCGTGTGACATTGACAATGTGCTTATAGTTGTGCAAATATGGGCGGATGTTTTGATACTTGTGTAAGGTTTTGCTAATAGTGTACTACTTTTAGTTTTAGTGTGTAAGCAATCAAAAAAAAAAACTGTAAAAGCAATGGAATTCCTTTTGCGTCGGTATAGTGACGCCAGGGGGCACCTTCGGCGTCCTCATACTGACGTTAAAGGGGCTTGACCATGCTACAGTTTTTGACGCCTTCGGGGTGAGAATGGGTTGCAATTCTTTGCTACTTTCTGTCACTGTAGAACATTGCATTGAAATGTAGGTTTATGAAAGAGCAAACAGCTTTAGATTTAGAAAAGTGTTAAATTATGAAAGAAGTGTTTGCCTTTTGATGTAAATGCTTCATTCTGACATGTGTTTATGGCACTGTGAATGCAGAGTTGCATTTTGAAAGAAAGGTTAGGCATTCTGCATTTTGTGTGTGCAGTTTTGAGAATTGTGTGTAGTTTTGAAAAAAGGGTACACCGTTTTGAAAAGTGTGTAAGCAGTTGTAAAAAAATAAAATGTACTTCTCCCTGAGAATTTGTTTTGAACAATGTGTTTTCTGTTGCATTGTTTATGGACTGTTTGAGAGTGTATATCATTTTGATCACTTATTTGAGAGCAGTGATAGATTTTGTACACAGGTGAAAAAGCAAAAGTTTTATTCAAGAGAAGTTTAGTTAATACTGCTTGAAGACAAGTTTGTGTGTTTAATGGTGTAATAAATGGGCATGGGTTGTATTCTTATATCAGTAATATTTAGTTGATGGTATTTTGATGATCTATTTGAGTATTAGTGGACTGTCTGCGTAATATCTTGTTTCTTCAACAGACATTTAAATGACTATAAGAAACTTTGCAAGTACATGTCAACTTACACTTACCCTGACCCAACCTAACAGTCTACTTATAATCTATGAGAATTAGTTGCAATGTAACTTAAATTCAACCAACAGACCATCAAAATAAAGTGTGACAGTTAAGTTTGATCAGTAAAAGAACTACTCTTCAAAATGTGTGGGTGAGGAGCACAAAGCCAGCATTCCTCCAATAGTCTCCAACAAAATACGCATGAGGCCTCCCACACCATGATTATAAAGGAGACGATTCTCTGCAACATTTGCGACCGCCTTCATCACTTCTTCCATCACCTTTATCACAGGCTCCCAGAGGATGAAGCGTCGGGTTTGCCTCTGCAGAGCAGTGACTCTTCCACTGACAATGCTAAGAAGATTCACAGCTTTTCTCACCATCTCCTGAATATCAGCGGTGTAATCCAGATGCTGCTTCACCTCTTCAATCTCACTCTGAATTTTATCCAGCAACTCATCAGTTTCTTCAATCTCACTCTCTATATTAGAGATCTTGGACTGATAATCAGACACTTTTCTCTTGTACTTCCCCACTCTGGACTCATTTTCTTCAAGATCGTCTTTAGCATCCATCATAGCATTTAAAGCATGTGCCATTGTATGAAATCCATCAATCATTATATCTGGACCTAAAGGAATTCAAGCAATCACATCAATCATGATTATTTTATAATTGCTAGTATTAAAAAATAGAGAATTTCTCACCCACAAGCCATCCAACAATTGGTATTATGCTAACACATGCTGCTGCATTCATTACGACTCCACCTTTAACCGCCCTGAGCATCTCTCTTTCTTTTTCTTTTTTAGCTGAAGCCACGTTTTTTTTGGCCTGCTCCAAAGCTGCTCTAGAGTTCTCTAATGATTCCTCAGCAGAATCCTTCTCGATATGCAATTCATTCTTGGTCTGGCGTTTCTGCCGCCTCTGCTGCTCAGCATTTCCCTGTTCTTTAATAAGTTGCTCCATACGTTCATCCAGATTTTGCAGTTTTACTTTAATAGTTTTCTCTGATCTTGCAATGTGCTGCTCAGCGTACTCAATATGTCTTCTGATTTGTCTATAATTGAAGCATATGCCAGTATTTGGATCTACTTGTGCATCCAAAAGATGCTTGCAGACATAACAGAGAGAAATAATTCCATCATTCAGAGGCCCAACAACCATCTCCATAGACTGCAGATCCCTAAAAAAAAACACAAACGTAATTAGAGCAAATGTAAATTTTATTTTGTAGAGTAGCTATAATCGATCTCCATACAGCTGCATACTTGTATGGTGAGTATTATGTTACATTGCAGCAAGTAGATGTGCAAAAACAAATAAAAATGTTAAATGTGTTTGTGTGTATGTGTGTGTGTGTGTGTATGTGTGTGTGTAGCTTATTTATCATTGGAGAAAAGTTGAATAAAATCCACAACAGCTACATCAGATAACCACAACCATAACAACTTGCTAAGAAACACCAGAATGGTTCTGCTCTGATTCTGTTCGTAATAGTTTTTATTAGCAGAATAAAGCACACACACACACACACACACACACACACACACACACACAAATTCATTCATTCATTCATTTTCTTTTCGGCTTAGTCCCTTTATTAAACTGGGGTCGCCACAGCAGAATGAACCGCCAGCTTATCCAGCATATGTTTTACGCAGCGGCTGCCCTTCCGGCTACAACCCATCACTGGGAAACATCCATACACAATCATTCACACTCATACACTACGGACAATTTAGTTTACCAAATTCACCTTTTCTATAGCGCATGTCTTGTGGGAAGGAAACCCTGGCAAACATGAGGAGAAAATGCAAACTCCACACAGAAATGCCAAATCGAGGCCGAGGCTCGAACCAGTGACCTTCTTGCTGTGAGGTGAACATGCAACACACTGCGCCACCGTGATCAATATTCTATCAAAAATCTCTTGCATACATTTACAACTACTAGATGTGCACTTTGTTCACATGTTTTGTTGTGTTTTTTTTAACTGAACTGTCTACAGCCAGATGGCGCACTTGTGCAATGACATTAAAACCCTGGTTGAGATGATCTCTTCTCTTCTTTCTCTGTGGAGTTTGCATGCTCGCCCTGCACCAGCGTGTGTTTACTCTGTTCACTCTGGTTCCCTCCAACACAGGCCTATAACCAGCCTGGTGAAAGGGAGATTCTTTTTTCTCAAAAGGTGGACCTTTTTGCTATTATTCGCCTCATTTTCTATTTAATTATGAGCTTTAAATACTGAATTTAGCTATTTTACTATTTTTTAGCTGAATTAGCTTGTTGAATGATCATCATAACCACACTTTTTGATGTACCAAAAATATTTCCTTAATGTTTAGGATAAAGAAATATGACCAATATTTGTTTTTAAAACACAAATGTATTACATCATATACAGTATCATTAGAAATGTTTTTTTTTTAATAAAAACTGAAGATTAGTGTAATTTATTAGGCAAATAACAAACTGGCCACCACATTCAACTTTGCTCAGTCAGAGAAAAGTAATTTGGCCATTTGAATAATAATAATAACTAAAACATAATTAAAGTAATAATAATAATAATAACACTAATTTAGAGCTTCACATTTTTTTCTAGCCTCTCTTGTAAAAGTGCTTCACACTTTTTTTATTGGTGGGTGTTGGCCTCATGAAAAATAATTACTTGCATTGTCCAAAACTGATGAACTGAAGTCATGCCATGATTCTGCTAGGTCTTAAAGCTTTTTAATGGGTTATTTTCACAATTTATGATGCCATAGCATTGAAAATAGGACAAATGAGCTCATGTATGGGACAAATTCTGGACTTTGTCATTGAGGGGTGGGTCTTCCAAACCCCACATAGACTTGTAGGACATTGCAGTATTATTTTCAAAAATCACTTACTGCAGTTTTAAAAAGGATTAACCATGCCATGTTTACACAATGGTAATAACTCATAGATGAGCTCTCAATTGGAGGACAATTCTCAATCAAGGAAAAGAGAGAAGTTAAATTAAATTAAGTTGTTTTGATATTATATGATTACACATTTTCTTTATGCATTTCATTAGAAATTTTAATTTCATAGTTAAAACGTGTTTAATTGTAGATTTTTTTTTTAAATATACAGTTGATGTCAGGATTATTAGCCCCCTTTGAAATTGAAAAATAGCATACTGCACAATGTCTAGACCAGTAATATATAATCTCACGAAACAGAATGCAGAATAATAATGCGGTTCTACAAGATTTATTATTCAAAAGAGAGTCAAAACAAGGCAGTCTGTCGTTGACATGACACAGAGCTGGATCTTCAAAAGAAAACGTAAAAGACCACGCAGTCGGCCGTGAGAGAAAGAGAAGAAGGTTTGTTGGTTCTGTGAGCCCACCACTTTGATGAGGAGAACATCTGACCTCCAGGCACTGATAGTCGTATTTTGTAGAATATTGATACACGTAAAATTGATGTATTTGGTATTTTATTTTAAAATACATTTCAATGTATTTTTGCCTATCCCTGCTCAAGGCGCTGCGTAACTTTTTGATTTAGTGGCTAATTCGTATGAATTCTTACGATCTAATTCGTACAATTTAGTACGATTTGCTCATCATCGAATGACGGTTGGGTTTAGGGGCGGGGTTGGGTGCCACGCCTCCTTTTTAAAATCTGACCTCGTATAAATTAGCTACTAAACTGACAAAATGTAAAATACTCATGTTTTCTCATGAAATTAGGTTGCTACCTTATTTACTTGTTAGTACATGATTGTTTGCTAATTAATGTATTAATTACCACATTAGTTTATGCTTAATTAACTATCATTCGTATAATTTTATTGTGACTTTACTTATAGGGGCACATCATCATTAACCTATTCGTAACTACTCATGAACTCCTTATGCATGTCCATCAAGTGCGATTACACTAAAAAAGAATATTAAAGTGTTCTGGCTTCATCAATATGAACAGTTTAAACACAGGAGTTCATAAGGACGAGTTAATGCAACGCAATCTCACGACAATTCATAACTTTTTAATTTAGTGGCTAATTCGTATGAATTTGTACGATCTAATTCGTACAATTTAGTACGATTTGCTCATCACCCAATGACGGTTGGGTTTAGGGGAGGGGTTGAGTGCCACACCTGTTTTTTAAACTCGTACATTTTCGAATGACTCAACTCGTACGAGTTCTCACAAAACTCACAAAACGTAAAATACTTACATTTCCTCATGAGATCAGGCTGGTTAATGATGAAGTAAGTCACAACGTAACTATACTGTACATGAGTTCAGCTCATGAGTTCATGTTGGTTACATTTAGCTTAAACTTAAAATATTAATTAATACATTAATTAACAACATAATAACAAGTAATTAAGGTAGCTTTTATTCACACATGAATTCAGGTGACTCATGTTGTAGTTAAGGTTATTTGATCAGTGTATGCCTTAACTGATCATTAAATCATATTAAAATAATGTTTAGTTTAATACATCATTATTCATGTACTGTTATTGTAACGCATTACTAAGGGCCTTACGTTTGCTAAGAGAACAAAAAGAGGAACAACACAATGACCAAAAAGGATGTTTTTCCGTTCCCAGATTGATTGGACAAAAATCACATTTACAGGCAAACATGAATCCTTCCAAGTGACAAGTACATTAAACACAATATCCATTAAAACATTCCTTATTTAAAGGGATAGTAGAAATTGTCCTCAATGTTTACTCACTCTTTAAGTTTTGAGTGTCTTCTGTTGTACACAAAAGAATATATTTTGATGAAAGCTGAAAACCTGTAACCTTTGAATTTCATAGTGGGGAAACAAATAGAGTAAAATAGCGTGGTTACAGCATCTTCCTTCAAAATATCTTCTTTCTGTTCAACACAAAAAAGAAAGTCAAACAGGTTTGGAAAGGAAAAGTAAATGATGACAGATTTTTCATTTTTGGGTGAACTACCCCTTTTATTAGGCTACGTCTATGAATTTGTTGGCTTACTCCAAATACTTCTTGTACCTGTCCTCACTCTTCCCTACCTTGCCCCTGGGTCCTGTTATTTTTTTATAACAACAGAGGTTAGTAGGCTACTTTATAAAACATGAAACATGTTACATTTGAATATTGCCATGCAAGTTCGTTAACAAAACTTACCTTACAGCCATTTTTTTTTGTTTTGCAGTATTTTTCTTTTGCTCCGTCATGTGAGGATGAAATCTGTGGGATGGAGGCTTGCATATATCCAGCATGATGAAACGGAACAGACCGCCCCTCCAAGAGTCACATGTTTTGATACGAGTCCAGTAGTGTAAAAAAGGGTTCGTGCAGTGCTGAACGCAGATAGGCTATTTGATATTTGACATTTATATGTTTACTATTCGAATTATTAATAAACACGTCGTAGTTTTACCGTAATTTATATAATCATTTGACTGGTAAATTACAATAAAATCCCTTTAAAGGATTACAAAATCGTCAATGACATTTTTTTTCATAAAAATCTTATAACTCGCTACTACTTTTAGAAGTTGAAATTATCAATTGATTTCAGTCAGTAGGCTATTTCAGTCAATTTTATTGAACTGTTTTTCTATTTTTTCCAGCTACATTTAAAACCGACATGTTGAGAAATGCCCATTTCTCTATAAATGTGCTAAAATTATGTCAATCAAGCATAAATCAAATGACTTGTAGATGAGTAATTAAATTCAGCAGGCTAATATCCAAGTTATATAAAAACACGTGACTTACGATCAGATAAAGCGAAGGTGGTCCTCAGATTAAAATAGACAGCTAGGGGACTGTCCATACTGGGAATGCGAACGTAAAACACATTCGTTTGCGTATATTAGTTTCGAGTGTCTGTGTTTATAAATATGTAAAACTTTCTGTTAAAAGTTAAAGCATCTACACATCTTCCATTTCATCACACCAGAGCTTGAAACACTTCGGCAGGGTAAGATACTTGCACTTTTTTTGTTGACATTTTATGACCTCATAGTGAGATCAAAATAATTCGAATCTTTATAGTTTTGAGAGTTTAATATTTTAAAAGAGAAATCAAAACTGCTGTAGCTGTTTACACTATTTACCATAGATTTAATTTTGATCACAACAATTGTACATTCTGAGGTTGACATTGAAACGACTGCACATTTATTTATGAATGTTTAAATAGCAGAACCTTTTGCTCTGATTTATTCGAGTGGTTAAAGGTTTCTCTCAAGTTCCCAATTTTCTAAAAAAAATAATTTTCTTTGATTTATTAGGGAAAGGTGTTAATATTCAATTTGTATTGAACAATATTCTAATTTTGGAGAAATTTTATATTCATAAATGCAAGTGCCTTAAAACAAAACCACTGTTTTTACTTTTCCAAAAGGAGTTTTGGTTATACTGTAAATCTTTTAAGTTGCTAAAATCTAAATGTGGAAGAAGACTGTTTAATTTATTGAAAAAATGTAAACTAATACAAGACCTGGTAGTGTAAATGTTTTTTTCTTTTTCTTTCTTTTATGTATGTGTGTCTATTCTATGGTTTAAGTGTTTTTATTTATATTATTATTTTATTGATTTGATTATTATTTGTGCTCTGTTCTATAAATATAACTGAAAGTTGTTAATCGAATTTTGCCTTATTGTAGTTGTGTTATAATGCAATTTAAAAAAAAGCTATTTACCATATAAGCTATGCCAAGCAGCTCTCCAAGTGCGAATGAAACATCTTGTCGTCCTCGGTTTTAGGTAAAACTGCAGAACATACTGATGCAGCCCACATTAAAACTGGTCAAAACTAGTATACACCAAACTCAGTGGAGTTGCACGCACAAACTGAACAACAGTCCAGGGAATTCAATATTTATTAGCTTGATATTTTAATTAAAAACTATTGTATTGGTTTAACTGATACAAGGCATAGTGAATCGCAAATTATGTAAAGGGGGGGGGGACACTTGCACTTTTAGGGGGTACACTTTAACATACATCACAAACTACTTAATTATACTACTTAAAGTCATTATTTTATGCATCCCTCTGCAGTCTTTATAAACATTCATTATGTCTTCATAAATAAGCTAATTAAATAACTTAAACTCAAAATAACCTTCCATGTTCATTTATTTGACAAGTTGGATTGTCAAAATAAATATGTTATATTGTTGCATAACACATTTCTAACATTCAAGTACATCAATGCACATTTTTTTACACCTGTAAACAGATGCAGTTGAAATCCATTTTTTGCCCTTCCATTAATTTAAAAGTGATCTAAGCCAAACCTAGGAGATTTTCACAGTATTTCCTTTAAACACAAATCATTCTTCTGGAGTCATAATAAGACTTTTTTCTTACAGTTTATTTCTTGAATAAAAGCCGTTTTTGTTAAAAAAATTTAATAAAAATTAAGTCAGTGTTATTAGCCTCCTTTTAAGAAATATTTACTGTGTATTTTTTGATTGTCTATACAACAAACCAGTTAAACAATAACTTGACTAATTATTTCAACTTTCCTATATACATAGCCTTATGAAGTATTTAAATTACACTTTAATCTGAATCAAAGACTATAGAATACTTAAAGGTACTTTAATCTGAATACAACGATCTTGCTAAATAACTAGTAAAATATTAAGCACTGACTGTCACCATGGGAAAGATAAAAAAAGTAGTCATTAGAAATTAAGTTAAACTATTATGTTTAAAAATGTGTTGTAAATAAATCATGTGTTAAAGATTCAAGCTTTATGTCCTGACTGAAATCAAAAAACTAATGAAGGCAAAACTAAACGAGTTGAATATGACTTTTACATGAGAGACACTGAAAACTAAACTGGATCACTGTGTTTCATCTGTTCTCCGGCTTGCTGACTGTTTGTAAGTTCAAGACTGCATTTCCTAACGTAAAACTATTTAACTTACACTCAATCTCTGATTAATAATAGCCTCTGCAAAGCCGAGGACTTCCTCTATTAAAAGTGTTAAAATCGCTATTTAAAACAGAAGTCTCATAACAGTGGACATTTTGATAGTTTTTCACAACATGTCTGAAGTTGAATCTTATTACCTGTGTCAATTCGGGGGTTAACTTCTGATGAATGCTGATGATGATGAATGATGCGTGCAGCACCGTAACTAACAGAGCGAAAGCAGACAGAGCGAGTGCGCGCGACACCGAGACCGCGCGCCACCGATGGCTGATCTCACTTCTCTGTGGCGTTTAGACACAAAAATATGCGTCCAAATTTAGGGGGGCCAGAGGGGGGGCCGGTGCCCCGCGTCATCAAGCTTAGAACCGCCACTGGTCCCTGTCAAAGGTAATCAAAGGAACAAAATTGACACATCCTGATTATCTGGCATCAAATATCAACAGTAAAAACAGCGGTAGAAGAAGCTGCGTGAATCTTTTCTTCATTTAATAAATTACTTTTACCTCAGAAGACAATGCCGACACACAATGAATGCATGGTGGCGTTTGAGGCTATGAGACACAGAGAACAGACGCTGTTGACATGCTCAGGTGCTCTGGAGGTCATTAATAATATAACAACGTTAATATTAAAACAGTTAAGGTGTTTTAGAATGACCAAATCAACATTTTAGATGTTTTACAAAGTACTCAGCCTGCTGGTTTGTCCATTCACACACATTTTCATCATCATTTGATCTCTTATAACAAACCTTTTTTAATACACATACTGGAATTTGTTCAGTAAAAGTGTTTCTTCTACTCAGTTATGTGCATATGTTTTTATGAATAAATTTATGTGCATCTTGGCGTTTCTATCAATCAATTTTTTATAAGCAAAAGTAGGTGGGTTGAAACATAAGGCTGAGGCAAGAAATACCACTTTGTCTTTAAAAAAGGTGAGGAGATTGACAGAAATTCAGAGTTTAGAGAATATACTCTGCTCCTGACCAGAAGTGCGTTTCCAAAAACCATCGTTATCCAACTAAGGTCGCAAGTTCCTTCGTTACAAAAATAGTTTGTTGATTTTCCGTTTCCCAAATCTGTCGCTCCAACAAACATTCGCAAACTGCGTCGCAAACTTGAGCACTTGCAACTACAGCTCTGAAGCTGTAATTTGAAACATACTGTAGTTCCTGGCTGTGTTCTATTCCAACTTATCTCCCCTATGCCCTATTCATTTAGAACATTCTAACATTCAAAGTTGTAATTATTAAAAAAAAAAACAGCATTAAAGAGCCCATATTATACATTAAAAGGGTCATATTTCGGTTTTATGGATCTCCAACAACATACTGATATGCATGCAAGGTCAAAAAAACACTTTCATGGTCTTATAATATGAATTTCTTTTTACCCAATTATCCCAGCAACTCCCATAGGAATCGTTCAGCGATTTATTTGTTCCCAAACCCCTCATTAGCGCGAAGCTAATCTGCGCTGATTGGACCGATGACAGCCTGTTGGGATTGGTCGACAACGTTCAGCGCAAGACAAATGCCCAGCACGAGACAGACAAATGCCCAGTGCGGTTTGTCAAGCCCCCGGGTCCCTGATGTTGGTATAGGATCAGTGGCGTAGTAGACGGGCCCGCACCGTGGGGGGGCCCCGCACGATAACCCTGTGACCGTCATAACCCCCCACACGGGAAGTATGAACCGCACTTAGCAGTGAAAATGAAACCGAAAGCGTGCACATCATTTACTGAGCATGATTTCCGTGACCGAGCTTTTCTCCCTTCTCAGCTGTAACTCAGATCATTTCTATTTGCAATTATTGCTGTGGCAGCTCTTGCGTGAAGTGTTATATATTCTCAGGGCGTACTTGTACTCTGCTTTGCCCAAAGATCCCATCCCAAGCCAAGCGGTTGTAGCGTTCACCAGCGCTCCTCCTCAGCGTGTAACAGGCTGCCTTTGTGCCTAATAAACTGGCCTTATTTTGCACGCACCCCTGGTGTATTGTCTGCCCATTCCCACAAGTCTCAAACATCAGGCTTTTCTTATCCTTCCTTTAACGAATGAATCGCCCACTGTAAGCGTGTAGACTGCTGAATCACTTCTTTCCCCTCACACTGCCAAAAATATCCAGGTAAGCACAGTGTCCTCTTGACTCATGACTTCAGGATCTTTTTGTCTTTGCTGCTGTGTTAGTGGGTGGAGCTGCAGGTCTAAATTTTCCCGGGTTTGTGCGCGCAACAGTTATGTTTCGTAGTCACGTAACGCCGAAACAGCTAAAGACTCGTTATGAAGACGATTCATTCTAACCACTATGAGTCGACTCTTTTTTAGATGAATCAATAGTTTTAAAAACTGTCCACTTTCAGATTTAAGCCTTAGCTGGATATTTCACTTTACTTAGAGCTGTTACACACTACATGAAAGCTCATTTTCGAAAACCCACAATAGGGGCTCTTTAAAGTCATCTCCCTTAGGTGTAATTTGCTTTCAAACTATTTTTAGTTCAGTTTTAGCGATCTTCATGTTTACAATTGTGCTCCTTTCGCAATGCACTTTGAAAACATTGATGTCATTTTGAACACAGCCTCCTGGCAAAGCTATAGGTGACCTATTATAAAAGCGGAACTTATGTAACATCTCCAAAGCTTGTGAAAACAAAAAGCATACGTTAATTCTTTTAATTTATAGTAGGTTATTTATTAAGTATCTCTACTGTATATGACATGTGCCTGCTGGTTAGAACTTTCTGCAGTGGTTTACATGTGTTAAATTGTAAAAGTAGACTTTTCCAAAAACATAAATAAATAAATAAATAAACAATATCCTACTTAATAATAATAATAATAATAATAACAATAATAATAATAATCATTAATATTATTATTAAAGTATTATTTTTCAATTCTAATAAATAATAAATATTACATTTCATTTTATAATAAATAGCCTCATTATTTATTTATATGATATTAGAATACGTGTTAGCTTTTGTAAGCGATATGTTTTAGAATAGAATATGTAATGTTCAACTTCTTAACAATATTATTTAAGCAAACCCATATGTGCCATTTACATATTTCAGTTACAATGGAAAGCGATTGCATGTTTTTACCAAATCTATATGGATTTTATTTTAAATGCGTGCATGTGTAAAACAATATAATTTGCACAAAGTAATTATGGGTTCTTCTCTAAAGAAGTAGTTACTCCACCCAGGTTAGAGCATGATTATGGGCGTTTTACGTTATAACTAACGTGGTTCAACGTTGGATCTGCGACAGAGATGCGTTTTGGGAACCACTCGTCACTACATCTTTCTTTTCCCAAACGATGCATCTACTATGATAGTTCAGCCGCAAGTTACATCCTTGTTTGGGAAACGCACCCTAGGTTAGGTTCAGTTAGTTACCACAGGAACTGCCATTTTGAAATGGAAAACCCAAAGTTTCTCTGATATCAGGGTTAACATACTCTGAGTTTTCACTTACCCTCCTTTCTGAAATGGGGCCAATTTGTTTGTTTGTTTATAATAAGCACCTTTTTGACAGACATATTATGCACTTATACCACTTTTGCAAGGGGATTAAATTAGTGCTGTGCGATTTATTAATTTGAAACATTGTGATTAGTTAATCTAAAAGAGGCTGCAATATGAAATATGTGTATTATTTCATTTTCCCCAACCAGAGCAAATGCGTGTCTGACAGTCTTACTAGCCAGTTGAGTTAGCATACTTACATTCGGCCCAATCAGAATTGTGCAACTTAACTATGCCCACAATAATAATAAAAACAATGGATAACAAACAGGAAAGTGCTAACAAGTGGGATTATAGCGTCTGCTGCTTCAGAAGCATTAATAGACCAAATAATATCAAAGAAAAATGGCATTTGTATTATGGGAATATTTTGGTTTCAAAGTCACAGACACCAAACAAAAACATGTAGTTTTTATGAGCTGTCACAGAATTGTTGCCACGGCTTACAGATTATTTAGCTGAAGCTTGACAACAAAATTAAATCATAAATCAAATCACAATGACAATCTGTCAAAAAAATAATCGCAATTAGATATTTTCCCCAAAACACACAGCCCTAGTTTAAATACAGTTGTGTGGTAACAATGTGTGAATAAAGCCTTACTCTAAGCGTAAAACAACAATATTTTATGGAGAATGCAAAATACATCCCGCGCTGTTCTTGCATAAAAAAGCCACCAGAGGCCGCCGTCGAGCGACTGTCCGTCCGACTGACTGACTGACTGACTGAATGATCGACTGGGCGGCCGGCCAATCGGCCAATCGGCTGACCCAGCCACCCTCCTCTTCCTCCTTCCCTAAACCCTAGCAACGATCTTCAAAAGCCACCTAGGAAAAAAACGCAAAAGCCCTTGTCCAATTTTGACTGAGTTTTCGGATTTCACCGCATTCTCGCCCTGTCATGAACTCGTTCACTTTTATTTTTTGGATTCTGTTTTCATCTTACCTGATTTCTGGAACCACTCTTCCCCGGACTGAACCCGGTCGTCGACCAGCCGGCTCCTCCTCCAGGCCTCCGCTCCGCCGACATAACACTACGAGCTAACCGGACAAACTGGTTGCGGCAGGAAAGCCCTCCACACGGAGGTGAGACATCAGCCGGCAAGCGTGAAGAAGAGGAGCGGCGTCACACCACCAGTAGCATTTGCTCGAAAAAACGAAATGTGGCCATACGTACCTCTGGCCACGTAAATCGCGTTCTTCAGAAACGTCCGCAGGGCTACGTTTTCAGAATGAGCTTGGGTTGGTAAAAATTCATAAATTACATTTTTTATAATCACACTTGATAAAACCAGATTGACATTCTCCCTTTGTGTATGTCATCAGAGGGGGGGAAGTCCTGCACAATAGTGGCAATCTCACCTTTACTAGCAGAGACTGCCCTGATTGAGAAGCAACCACTTTGCTGTCGCTCCCCCCTTTTTCAAAAAGAGGGCTGAGAGCACAATCTTGTTTGAATTTAAAGCGGCAGTCATGAAAATGGCATATTTTGGATCAAATTAAGCCTTAAAAGGATCAGTTTTAAAGAGTTGTAAATAATATTTGTGGGTTATAATGTGTTGAAACCTTACATATACACTGAGAGACATATTATATCTTCCAGGTCCACTTTAATGTCACATTTGTGGTAATCAGTGTCACAGGTTTCACATGAAACAGTTCATATGAAACAATGCTTTGACCGGGAGAGTAGTTGGTCTGCTCATATTTGTTCTTGATTAATTAATCTTGGTGAAAAAAGTCAACCAGTTTATCTTGGATGTTGGTTTTGTAAGTGATGCAGCAGTTCCCAGGTTTGCAAGCACTTTAAAACATATACTGTGGACATGGTTTGTTAAACACTGTGATGCATGACATATGAATTAGTTTGTTATGCACTGTGCATAACAAACTAATGCATATGCACTGGTTTTTGCAGTATGTAGCAATGCCTTTTGACCTATGAAGGATTTATAGTCATAAGGGTTCAGTTGGGCACTCTTCTTTTTTGTCAGATGGTTTACCTAGTGAACTGTCTCTGGTATTTAAAAGCCATCTGTCCGTTTTATTTTTAGTTTGTCAACTCTCCTCTAATAGTCACCTGATTAGCTGTCCCTAGTAGATGGCTAAAGATTTGCTGGCTGCTTATAATTGTATGTTTGCCTCTGAATTAACAGGTTTTAGTTTAGAGTTTGCAAATGGAGAGCTGCTTGTAATGCTGGCAGTAGTCAAAATTAAAGACAGTGACTCTAATGGACAGGGGCATGGAGTCACACATCTGCTACATATCAACACTGACATTTAAAGAGCCCATATTATACATGAAATAGGGTCATATCTTGGTTGTAAGGGTCTCCAACAACAGTTTAATATACTGTACATGCAAGGTCCAAAAACACTTTCATGGTCTTATAATCTGCATTTATTTTTACCTAATTATCCCGGTGACTCCCGTATGAATCGTCCAGTGATTCATTTGTTCCCAAACCCCTCCTTAGCGCGAAGCTAATCTGCGCTGATTGGACCGATGACAGTCTGTCGCGATTGGTCGACTGCCTTCAGTTAGAGAGTGAAATGGCCAATAGCTAATCAGCAATATAAAAAGTAATCACAGTTCATACACGCTCGATAGTGTTGGCGTGGATTTTAGCTGCCACACACACACACAAAAACACACACACACACCTCCGGACGACAACGCTCCCGCTTCCGCCCGCACCCGCCAGGTTTTAGCCTGAGAACCCTACGCTCCGTTTTCTGCCCGCCGCGCCCGATCCCGCTAGAGCGGGGGAGACCACAACCAAAAATCACCTCGCTATACAGTCCAGACAGCCAAGATGTCTGTATAAACACACACACAGCACCAAGCACACAAAGCTCGCTCTCTCTCTCTCTCTCTCTCTCTCTCTCTCTCTCTCTCTCTCTCTCTCTCTCTCTCTCTCTCTCTCTCTCTCTCTCTCTCTCTCTCTCTCTCTCTCATACGCGCGCGTGCGCAATAACACACACACACAAGCACCAAGCAGACTCTCTCTTTCTCATTCGCATAGCAATATCCGTGATATTGCAAGACAGCCCGCTCCCGTCCCAAATTAAACCCGTTACCGACCGCTCCCGCGATTTATTCGGAAATTTATTCCCGCGCCGCAGAAATCTGGCGCAGGGACAGCCGCGGGAATGAAGAACTCTACCACGGAGCTCCATACACAAAGCAGCACGCGTCGCGTTTTTAACGTGACTTTGCACGCGATAAGAGAATATAGCGAGTTAACCTGATACAGTACACGCGGTTACAAGTAACAAATCACAACTAAATACATTTGCAAGCTAGAGTCAACGAGGCAACAACTTTAACCGCACGTACTTACACTTGAGAAAGGTAGGAAGAAACCCATCCTGACGTCCATCATTAAGTTACTCTTTACTGATCCTTCCTTTAACAAACTCAGATGAAGTATTCTTTGTAGCATGTAGTTTCCAGAAGTTTCCAGTACTTTCCAACTGCTTGGTTATAATGCTGATGTTTCATCTTTGGGTAGAGACTCAATATATCCATCTGCAGTGTGACTTCAATCGACCGGCATGTTTGTGTGCGTGTGTGTGTGTGTGTGTGTGTGTGTGTCTGGGTTTCTGCGTCAGAGGGCGGGGCCTCAGGTTTGAAATCTCCCGGGTTTGCGCGTGCACGTGAATAACTTGGTTTCGTTCGTACGTCATGGCGAAACACCTAAGGACTCGGTATCAAGGCGACTCGTTTGAAGCACTATGAGTCGACTCTTTTATAGATGAATCAACCGTTTTAAACACTGTATTCTTACAGATTTAAGCCTTAGCTGGATACTTCACTTCACTTAGAGCTGTGTTACACACTACATGGAGGGGAATTTTCAAAAACCCATAATATGGGCTCTTTAAAGTTAAACACTTTAAAGTCTGACAACTGTGGAGTCCAATTGTACCATATTTCATTAGTATTTTGTCCAATAATTTTGTGTTCAGTCATTTTTAGTGAGTTATTTTTAATTGTTCTCGTTTGTTTTGAGCAGCAACAAGAAAGCCATGAGCTCTGCAATCTCAAAATCTACTCAGAGCCTCTCTACTGCTAAGGACATGAGGGAGCAAACCGAAATAATAATGCATCCCTATGTCAACTGGGGAAAGTATCTGATTCCGGGGCCTCTATCTATAGCCATTCTAGGAGAGCTGGTTTTCATCTCATCCTCAACAGATTTCTCTATCAATAAAAATCCTCCTAAAGAGGGTTACAAATTCATCAAATACCCTGATTCTTTCCGTGCTTGCCTCATGCAAGTGTGCAACACTGGTTGGTGGGCATTTAATGAAGCCCATACGAGCATGGATCAGATCCGTCTTTATACGGCCCAAGTTCCCGATTACATGAAGAATGCTGTGAAGATTCTGTTCCAAGATGATGATGAAATTGTCAAAGCGCTTCTTCCTAATCAGATGGACAATATCAGAGATATCGCAGATGAATGTTTGACTTTGTCTGCTGCTACTGAAAAGAGTTTTGGTAATGTCATCAATATCATCCAAGAGCTGCTGGAAGCTTGTATGAATGCAAACCGCTTCTATGGGGAAGAGATGGAGGCCATGAGGAAGAAGATTGAGGAGAGCAAACTGAGGAAGCAGTCATCAGAAGAAACAAAGAAAAGGACTGAGAAAGCAGTGAAAGCTGTGGAGAAGCAGCTGGATGAGGCTCAAGAGAGCTACAAGAAAGCTCTGGATTCTCTTCCTGGTGGATGGGAAATGATTGGCATGGACTTTGTTGGTGGATTAGCACAGAGCGTTGTAAGCCTGCTTAATGGAGTGACGTTTCTTATTACCCACCCAGTCAGAAGTGCATGTTCTGCAACAACAAAGATCGCTAGTACCGTGCACCAGATCAGAGATCAGGAGAGAGATGTAGTTGCTGAAATAAACGCATACAGTAAGTCTGCTGCAATTTTAAGTTGTGTCCAGAATATCCAGCAGCTAATGAATGTGAATAGTGAGGGTGATGACATTGCCTGGAAAGATCTGTTTGATCAGGAGAACAATTGTGCAAAAACTACTTTTATGGCACAACAGCTTGAACGAATCAGTGAAGAATTAAATCAAGTCTCTGACTGCTCAAGTAAGTTTCAGGCTCTGAAGTTGTGCTGCATGGGCATAAAAATATGCAATGAGCTGGAACGTTATGCACCTGATGGCAAATGTGAGAAAAACAAAAGTAAGAAGATTATAAAGGAGGTTTTGGAACTGATCCAGCTTGCACGGGTTTTTGACTGCAAAAGCAAAGATGTGACAAATTCTCCAGCCATTTCTCCAAAGCCACCAATGATGTATAAAGAAGAAATCAAATCAAAGAACATGAGTCCTGCACAGAAGGCCTCACAGAATGCAAGATTCACCATAGAGCAGACCCGAGCTCAGCTGAACAAGTCCAGAGAGACATATGAGAAGTGTGTAGAGAACCTTGAGAACAATCAGAAAGAATTGACTGAAATCCTGATCACTATGAGAAACTGTGACCTGAAAGAGATCGACTTCAGAACCACCATAGAGATGCTGGGCAAAGGAATGGATGTCATGGGGAGAGTGAAGGAGCAGTGGGAGGAGATGGTTCACTTCTTTCAGATGGTTTCTGCCATTGTGAAAACCAGTCTGAGCAAAACTCTCAAAAACTTCGTCTCCACATCTGAGAAAACACAAACCCTTCCCTACAATAAAAAGCTCTTCTCAAAAGATCTGCTCTACGATCAGGCCTTCCAAGCTAGTAACATTGCCAGTCTGGTCCATATGATCTCTGCAACATACACTGATGTTTCCAGCAGGTACCTGATGGATAGAGTCAGCTCACTGGGCAAACTGATGGCCATGGATAAAAATAAGCCAGAATTTGAGCATGAGCGACAACAGCTCCAGAACACCTGTGATGAGGCAGAGAAAGGCATCTTAAGGCTTGTGGAGAAGAATATAAATGACTTTAAATATAAGACTGGAAAGAGACTGGAAATAATCAATCGGGCATTGCTTCCCATTCTGCCTGCTGCACCTCCAGAGCAAATCAAGAGCATTCAAGAGGCTGTTCAAGCTGGATTCAATGAAGACGATTTTGTATAATATCTATTTTACAAGCTCATTAAATGCAAGATAATTATCCTAACATTATAAGGATATAACCCTATAAAATAAATTTCCTTTGGCTTAGTCTCTTATTTATGAGGGGTCGATATGTTTTACACACAGATGGCCTTACAGCCACAACCCAGTACTGGGAAACCATACACACTCGCATTCACACACTCACTTACACATTACAGCCAAATACAGCCTGGAGAAAACCCACACAGGGAGAACATGCAAACTCCACACAGAAAGCCAGGACTCAAACCAGCTGGGACTCAAACCAGCTGGGATTCACGAATCGAACCTTCTTGCTCTGAGACGACAGTGCTTACCAATAAATGTATGAACTACCGTGCACCCTCTGAAGCAATATGTGTGTTATTCTAATTAACAATTGAACAAGAAATATTTTAAATGGATATTTATTAATTGTGACATGATCTTAGAGGAATATGTTCAATGTTTTGTATTTATTTCATGTTTAGTTTATAAAACTATTCACTTTGGTGTGCATTACACATTTTTAAATAATAAATGCACTCTGCACTGATTACAAAATTCTTCCATCACTAATAAAATATGTTACTACTCAGATTGTTCTGTATCTCTGTACTGCTTTTACTTTTTACAGCCATTGCAACAAACACAGTTACAGATATATACAAAAAATTAGTGTAGAGCTAAATAAAATATGCCTTATTTAGCTGCATAACATACAAACAAACATACTACACAATGCCTGGTAAGAATAAGTATCAAAGTTAAATGTTTATGCTAAATTGTGATGTTTCAATAAAACAACATGTTATATTAATGTCTTTATTAACATCAGACAGTTTTAGTGCAGGGACACATGTGACTCTTAGACAGCATGTATAGACCTTCTGTCTCTCTGTAGCAGTGGTTCTCAATTCTTGTTATTGGGCCCCCCCACACTGCATTTTTTGAACGTCTCTTATTTGACACAAAAGGATCAGTTCATGAATAAGGAGTTGATAATCTAAAACAAGTGTGTTAAGTAAGGAAAACATAAAAAATATGCAGGCAGGGGGGGTCCAAGGATTGGAATTGAGAATCACTGGTATTCATAGTAAAATAACCTTCTATTGCCATCTATACATTGACAGTAACAACATTTAACTGATTATACCACATAGCTCTTCCTTATGAGTTGGGCCAGACAGAATCTGCAGGCATTTTTTTCTTTTTCTGTGCAGAATTTTGTCAAAATCTTAAAAAAATAAAAAATAAATAAATAAGCATACATACATACACACACACACACACACACACACACACACACACACACACATATATATATATATATATATATATATATATATATATATATATATATATATATATATATATATATATATATATATATAAAATCTGTGGATTTATGCGGAATGATTTTGGGAGTATCGTCACTAAAACGTAATTTATGAAATATAAAATAATACGTTTTTTAATTTATTTAATCTTTACAATGCAAATTAAGTTAGATCCACTTCATTGGTAAACAAAGCAAGTCCCTCATATAATATATCTAAAATACAGAAAATAATACTTAACAAACTGTATTATAAATAAATCATATGAACATTTTCATATTACGCAATAATATTATTGAAATCAATTTTAAATAACTATATTTACACAAGTAAATAAATAGACTCAGTGATTGGCGTAAAATCTATGCAAATCTGCAGATTTCTACTTACACAGTATACGTGTGGGCCTTCTTATAAGTTATTAGTAACATTGAACAGGGAATTATTGCAGGTTATAACAATAAACAATTTCACTTTTTCTAATTCACAATCTCTGTGGAATTGTGACAGTACATCCAGACCTGGTTTTCAGCCTCTTCTGCAAGTTTCTGATTGTTCATCTGTGGCACTATCAGGTGCAGTGGTCACATGTTGATCTTAAATGGTAGTTTCCATGTGTAGCAGTGACTTTTCCGACTGCCTGTGGTCATGTTTTGTCTGAGTATTCCAGTTTCGGACTGAACAAGGTAAGACCATGGTGTCTCATACCTTTGCAATATAGTACTGGATTTCACCCAGTCTGTTTCATCCTCCAGTTTCATTTTCATAGACGTACCTGATGGAATCTCAGGCAATGATCAGGCACTGTTCCTTCTTTATACTCCCTGCACACACCAGTCGGCAGATATTTCAGATCATTCAAAACATACATAATAATTACTGCACAATGTGTTATTTGATTTCTGTAGTGCTAGTAATATCATCTTACCATATATTTTGGATTCAGGTTTTTACCTTTCTTTCACAAATGTCTTGATTCCCTTGCCTTTCATGTCCAGTTCCATCACAACAGGTCTGCAGCAAAAAACAGAAAAATCAACTATTAGAAAGCTGATGCAACAGCTGTTTGAAAATACAATTAACAAGTAAAAGAACGAACGTAAAAGATGCTTTCTTAGTTCCAGTTCTGTACTCACTAAAGCCTCCCTGTAGCATTGAGACGAGTAAATTAACTCAGTGATTCACATGCTTAAAAAAAACATTGAAGCAGTTGCTGATGTAACAAATGTTACTCAGTTAATCAACCATACAATTGCACAAATTAAGTAGATAAATTATACATTTGTTTACATGCATTAAATGTACGTGTATCTAATTTAAGCAGTATTGACAACAGTGGAATATTCTACATCAGCACAAATACATCACTCACTCAGATGTCTGTTTAGACGTGAGATTTGCTGATCTGCTATAGGCTACTTGTGAAATAGTTTTCTATCAGACATGTATTAATTAATCTCCTCTCCTCCTTTCGGATTAGTCCCTTTATTAATCTGGGGTTGCCACAGCTGAATGAACCGCCAACTTATCCAGCATATGTTTTACGCAGCGGACCGCACTAGGAGACATGCACTCACATTTACACACATACACTACAGACAATTTTAGCTTACCCAATTCACCTGTACCACATGCCTTTGGACTCATGGGGGAAACCGGAGCACCCTGAAGAAACCCATGCGAACATGGGGAGAACATGCAAACTCTACACAGAAACGCCAACTGACCTAGCCGAGACTCGAACCAGTGACCTTCTTGCTGTGAGGCGACAGCCTTCTACAATTCTACAGTGACTCTGAAGTGTAGTGAGACTACACTTGAATGGTGAAAGTCACTCACATTGCCCCCCAGCGGCAGATCGCTAAACCTGATATCGGATCAGTTTTACATTTAAGTAGGCACAGGTGTCAAACTCTGCACAGTTTAGTTCCAACCCTATAAACAAACCTGAACAAAGTCATTGAGTTCTTCAGGTTTGTTTGAAACCTGCCGGTAAGCGTGTTGAAGCAGGGCTGGAACTAATATGTGCAGGGCTGCGGCTCTCCAGGAACGGAGTTTGACACCTCTGTAGTAAGGCTACCATGGAACAATATAGAAAACGTATTAAAGAATGCCTGCATGCGCTTCATGACATTGCTCGCAATAGGGTATATGCGAAGCTAGTGTTTTTAGTTTTTAGTAAACTTCCAGTGAATGGTTAATGTGAATTTTCATTTTATATGGTTCCTTTTACAGCATCATGTTGTAATGTAATTAAAATACAATCAGTTAAATAGACCCTGTCATTCAGTTGCTCAAGTGTAAAACAAAACAAACAGCAGTTTACTCACACGTGCTAGCCAGAACTCCATTGAATAAAGTTCATATTTTAAAGACATGGCAGAGAAAAAATTTATTTAATGCAGTGCTTCTTGTACAATCTGAGACCCACTTTATATCGGATATCACTCAGCCAGTGGAGATCGCTGATTTTTTAAGAAAACAGACTTAAGCGTGACGATTTTGTAATACAGTTCACCGGAAGCGCTTAACCCAGGTTACTCACAAATTAAAAGTCATTTAGCATACTTCCACATAAACCCTATATGTTTGAATACAAATCTAATGTGTGTTTAAGTATTTTGACAGTTTCCTAACTGATTTTGACTGTATGACTGATTTACGTTTTTACATTGAAAGTTAGTCTTTTTTGTTTTTCTATAGGTTATGCTTAAAAATTATATATTGGCCTTAGTTATTTCCAGCCATTTCCAGGCTGAAAACCAGCTATAGATTTTTTTGAGGGATGCAAACAATAACAATGGTCCTAACGTGTTTCCTTTTTAACACTTTTACTTTTCATAGCTCCTGAGAATCCTAATCCTCAACCCTATTGATAAATAATGTTATGAAAGCTGTTTTAATGTTGAGAAATAATTGAATTGCTTCATTACAGTTATTAAAATAGTTTGACAATACTCAAGAAATGTTCAGGGGCCATATTGGCATCACCACATTGAAATGGCCTATATGTCCTGCTTAAACCAGGCTGCTCAAGCTAGTTTTAGCTGATCATTTCCCAGTCTGACCAGATAGGCTGGAAATGGCTGAAACCAGCCTGGAAATGGAACAAAACTTCTCTAAAACGAGAATGGTCAACCAACTAAAACCAGCCCACCAGCTTAGGCTGGTTTAAGCTTTTCTTTAGCAGCTATTTGAACGGCTTTGAGCACCAGGTGTCTATAAGGTGTTTTAAACATGGTTCATGGTTCAAGTTGTTTAGTTTCTCATGTCACTACTATTAGTATTTAGAGTTCTTAAAATAGCCTTTCTTTATAGCGTGAAAAACATGTTTCCATTAGTCTATGAGGTTCCACTGATGTTGGAATAACTGAGGACAATAAATAACTTTTATTTTAAGCATAACCTATAGGAAAACAAAAAAATACTTAATTTCAGTGAAAGCGTAAGTCAAACATTAGTTCAAAACCGTTCGGAAACTGTCTAAATACTAAAACCACCCTATCATTTAAGGGGTCTAACATAGACCGTACGTCATGCAACGACATCGTTTGCAAAATCTGATAGGTTTCCTTGCATTCACTCCACCCCTTACGTCGTAGATAGCAATTTTTTATTGGCTGATTCCTCTAGAGCCCATCCTGGTTCGATTCCTTAAACCAATGGACGGTCATGGTGTCATATGAGCTTTTGCGTACACGCCCCAACAGATCATGCGCAAAGCATTTCTGTAGTTGAAGTCTAAAATGAAGCCTTAGGACTGGTACGAATTCACTGAAAAACTACAAGCTGTGCTACGCCTTTGGTCTTATGGGACGTCTCGACTATTCGCGCAGCAGATGAAATAAAAGCACACAGGGATGTGTTTGTGACAGTAATCTGAGCCAGGACGAGTCCATAATGGTAAGTCAAAGTAAAGCTTCACCTCGATAAAATGTAACGTTACTGTAAATAAGCTAATTGCAAATCTTATGTGGCGCATGCTTATGTCTTTGTTGATATCTTAGCGAAGCTAGCAAAGTTCGGTCTACCATGTTTACCTCTTGAGAGTTGCTATGCTTGTATTGTTGTTATTTTTGTAAAATTTGATTTATAATTACTTTTTAACATTTAACGTTAAACACAAGGCAACAAAAAGCTGCAGCGCTACAGTGTTGCTTTGTATATGGTTGTAATGTTACCATATGATTTTTCTGTTTATAGTATTGTGAGGATAATTCTAAATATTGTTTTCACTTTCGTCAACGTGACACTATAGTTATATTGTCGAGTGTGAGCCTGCTCCTGTATTTCTGTCTAGATGTTGAATTTATGTGTGCTCCATCACTTCAGGGTGACAGCAGCTGCAGCAACGGTGTACAGAAGAAAATGTCAGACCCTCAGCTCTTCGATGCAGAGTTTGAAAAGCTTGTGTGTGAACTTACAGAGCAGGACTTCACTGATCCTGTTCTCAGTGATGCCCTCAACAGACTCCGAGAGGTAGAGTAAACCCTCACAGCCTCTTCTGAGGGATTCACATAAAGAGAGATGGAGAAGATTTGATACATTTTTTGACCCCAACTTTTCTGTAGCCATGAGTTTTGTATACATATTCAGAACATTTTTCTGTGAGTTATTTTTTGATACCTACAAACAATGTTCTGAGAATGTCTTTCTTATTAAACTGGGGGATTATCTGGGTTAGCTTGAAACTAGTGATTGTATTGTTATCCACAAATTCCCATGAGTGATTGAAATTATTGCTCAATGAATTGATTGTTAACTTTAATTATGCAACTTCAGTGGGAAGGAACAAGCATGCAGATATGTGTGATTGTGATTGTTTTGATCTATTGATCCTCGAAATAATGGTCATCAATGCAAAGTTTGGTCGTCAGCACAGAAGCGTGACATCAGCTGATTAATTTTCAATTATCAGCCATGTCAGCAAAAATATGTAAAATCCATAGTAAAGGGCTGTCCTGATTTTGTGTGAGCTATTTGTTCTGGCTTTACACTTTCATGTATGAGGAATCTAGCAATTACATAGGTTTCTTTAGAGTTTAATTTCTTTAGAAAAAAAATTCAAGTTTCTTAGTCAAGTGGCTCAAGGCATAACTTGCTATTTAAGTTAAGTTTGCATCTAAAAATACTGTGTTTTAATATTAGAAAAGAGTCTGCATCCTTGGCTGCATCAAATTGCCAGCATATCAGATCTCAGTGTTGTGTGTGCATGATGTTTGTAAATTATGTAGCTATTCAATTTCCAAAAAAAAATAAAAAAAACAGAAATCTCTTAATGAGAATATTGTCCATGTCTTTTATCATACATTTCAAAGAATTACTACCTAAAGCATGGATGCCCAAACTAGGTATGGGACAATAACCGGTTTCAAGGTTTACCACGGTTTGGAAAAGTCAAGGTTTTAATACAGCTGAAATGTCCTGTTATATCGTTCCCAAGGTATATGTAAGGTTTTGTTTTATGTATTTTTTTCTGTTTTGTAAGGTAATCTATGTTTTTGAAGCTAGATTTTTTTTTTTTTTAAATATTGAACCTGAAATGTTTACAGCTCTAAAATATCATAAATGTTTCTTAAAATATGAGCAATTCCAGCATTATGGATTTGACATTTGCATTAAAAACTCAAAACATAAATTTAAATAAAAAGCATATTTTTAAATATTTTCCAGAACAACTGACCGCAGAGTTAAGGGATGAAAAAAATATCAATCTGTAAACATGTTTTGTGCTTTAAATGAGGAAAATAAACATGCATAATGGAAGTGACAAAAAAAGTCTGCAAGTTTACAGCATACAACATACTTTGTAGAAATTCTGTGAATAAACTGCCCAACCCTAAAGAAAAAATAATAAATAGATAATAAATAAAAACAAAAATTGTTGTTATTGATGTGTCGCATCTCTGTTATGGATGTGACGGATGTGAAATTGCCATTTGTGTGACTTTGGTAAATCAAATATAATAGTTTGAAAACATTGACAGATGCATTTTTGAGTATTTCTAAAGTACTGTAAAATACTTGCTCACCCAAAAAACCCAGAATCGGTTTACGTATTTTAGTGAAAACTTAATTTTTTCATGGCAAGGTTTACATTTGCATGGAATTGCTTGTATTGTTCAATGGGCGTTGTGTTCAAAAAAATTTTATTTATTTTTTTTACCCAGAAATTTAAAAATGTCGTCTTTTAGAACAGTAATCACAATACTGTGGTATTTTTATCCAAGATTATCATACTGTCAGAAACTTATACAGCCCATGCCTAGCCCAAACTCCGTTCTGGAGGGCCGATGTCCTGCAGAGTCGACAATTTAAAAAAATGATTATAAAATTATAAAATATCAGGAGTTGGTTTTGCGATCAAATTCCTACAAAAAATTGACATTGCTTGTTAAATTATTATTATTATAACTCACAAAAAAAGAAAACTAAATGCAGAATAAGAAACAGCGAGGTCCCATGCCTAAAGATAATGGGCGTGAGCTTTAGCATCATCATTGGTCCACATGCTCCAATATTGGCTCATACTTTCAGTATCGCTTTTGTAAAAATGATCTATTCTTGTTTATATGAAATATATCTGTTCCTGAGCAGGTTTGAGCTGACAGACCTGTTGTTGCTATAACAACAACTTTAGGATACGTTCTGAAGAATGAAACTATCCTGGATTGTGTCAAATCATCAATGATCAAATCCAGCTAGTTGAGGAAACCAAGTACATTGAACGGACCCCTTCATTAATTCAATTGTTTAATATTATAGTTTAAACTGGCAAAGCAGTGGCTTAGTGGTTAGCACTGTCGCATTACAGCAAGAAGGTTGCTTGTTCGAGTCCCGCCTGGGTCAGTTGGCATTTCTGTGTGGAGTTTGCATGTTCTCCCCGTGTTGGCGTGGGTTTCCTCCGCCTGTTCCGGTTTCCCCTTAAGTCCAAAGACTAAACTAAATTGGCCGTAGTATGTGTGTAAATGTAAGAGTGTATGAGTGTTTCCCACTACTGGGTTGCAGCTGGAAGGGCATCCGCTGTGTAAAACATGCTGGAGAATTTTTCTTTATATGCTGATCTTTCTGCTGTAGCAACCCCTGATAATTAAAGAGACTAAGCTGAAGGAAAATGATTGAATAGTTTACACTTTTTAAGTGTCTTTTTCTTCTTCTAGGTTCTTCAGTACAATGCCCCTGGAGGCAAGAGAAACCGAGGCCTGTCTGTGATTGGTTCATTACGGGAGCTGGTGTCTCCATCTGAGCTGCCAACTGAGGAAGTTCATCGAGCTCTTTTGGTTGGATGGTGCATTGAACTGGTGTGTAAAATTGCTACTATTTAATCAACTTAAAGAGCCCATATTATACATGAAATAGGGTCATATCTTGGTTGTAAGAGTCTCCAACAACAGTTTAATATGCATGCAAGGTCAAAAAACACTTTCATGGTCTTATAATCTGCATTTATTTTTACCTAATTATCCCAGCGACTACTGTATGAATCGTCCAGTGATTCATTTGTTCCTAAACCCCTCCTTAGCGCGAAGCTAATCTGCGCTGATTGGACCGATGACAGCCTGTTGCGATTGGTCGACTGCCTTCAGTCAGAGAGTGAAATGCCAAACAGCTAATCAGCAATATAAAAGTAATCACAGTTCATACACGCTCGATAGTGTAGGCGTGGATTTTAGCTGCCAGTGGGTCAATGTAAATACAGACTATGGACTTGAAAATACAGACGACTGACCATTTTATTGAGCAAAAACTCCAAAAACAGTTGAGGAGATCTCCTAGCTTCTCACTCTGCTCTTTTCACAGACACACACACATATTGCACAAACACACACACGCACTTAACCCTGCTCCGGACGACAACGCGCGCACACACACACACACACCTCCGGACGACAGCGCGCGCACACACAGACACACACACTACTCCTCGTCCACGGAGCTCCGTTAACAAAGCAGCACGCGTCGCGTTATTAACGTGACTTTGCACGCGATAAGAGAATATAGCCAGTTAACCTGATACAGTACACGCGGTTACAAGTAACAAATCACAACTAAATACATTTGCAAGCTAGAGTCAACGAGGCAACTTTAATCGCACGTACTTACACTTGAGAAATGACGTCCATCAGTAAGTTACTCTTTACTGATCCTTCCTTTAACAAACGCTGATGAAGTATTCTTTGTAGCATGTAGTTTCCAGAAGTTTCCAGTAGTTTCCAACTGCTTGGCTATAATGCTGAGGTTTCATGTTTGGGTAGAGACTCAATATATCCATCTGCAGTGTGACTTCAATTGACCGGCATGTTTGTGTGTGTGTGTGTGTGTATGTGTGTATGTGTGTATGTGTGTATGTGTGTATGTGTGTGTGTGTGTGTGTGTGTGTGTGTGTGTGTGTGTGTGTGTGTGTGTGTCTGTCTGGGTTTCTGCGTCAGAGGGCGGGGCCTCAGGTTTGAAATCTCCCGGGTTTGCGCGTGCACGTGAATAACTTGGTTTCGTTCGTACGTCATGGCGAAACACCTAATGAATCGGTATCAAGGCGACTCGTTTGAAGCACTATGAGTCGACTCTTTTATAGATGAATCAACAGTTTTAAACACTGTACACTAACAGATTTAAGCCTTAGCTGGATACTTCACTTCACTTAGAGCTGTGTTACACACTACATGGAGGGGAATTTTCAAAAACCCATAATATGGGCTCTTTAAGGCCAGTAGTATTCAATAGCAGGTGCTTGTACTCTGTATGTGTCCCTTATACCAAATGATGAAGCTCTCTCAGTCCGCTCTGATGTGCTAAATCATTTTAGAGTTTATTATTTCAGATGCAGTTAATCATTGTTTTTTTTCAGTTAATCAATCTCAGAATCTAACTATAGAGACTGACATTGGAAATGGACAATAATCAGATTATTTTGATGTACAATTCTCGCTATGAACAAACTTTTATCTATGACATTTGCTTCAAATTGGCATTAAATGGGTGGGGAAGTAGCATAAGATCATGCAGGTTATGTACTTTCGAAAGTACTAATTAACAGCCAATATTTTTATATTAGACAAGGAATAAACCCCTAGTTAATAGTGAGAATTAGTACATAAACTAAAGTCTTACCAAAAATTTATTAAATCTAAATTGTATATAGTAATATTGAAAGGGGCCCACAAGCTTTATTTGTAATCTCATTTGCATCTTGTTTATTTTTATTACATGTTGAATGAAATGATGAAACACTGAATTGTAAACACAGAAAATGAAAAGCAGAAGTGTGCAACATTAGCTTTGTTTCCCTCCATCGGTGCAAATTAGACATGTGTACAAATCTGAAATGTTGCATGACACATTTGTGAATAAAGCACCTTTTCCATCCAATCAGTCAAAGAGAATAAAATAGTCAAAAAGAAATAACGGAATTCGCAGTGTTAGAAATCCGTCTGGGCCTTTTGTCTTGCATAAAGAAAATAAAAATTCTTACATTCAAACATAAATAAAATTTCACTCGTTATTTCAGTAGCTAATAACAAGTCTGATCCATCTGGTGCGTTATTGAATACTGGCTGATTATAGAAAAAGAGCATGCAAACTTGCGTCATTTTTTTTTTGTCATGGCTCGTGAGGTTGGATGTGTCTTGAAAAAATGTCTTGAACACATTTGATTTTCTCCACAGCTTCAAGCTTTTTTCTTGGTGGCTGATGACATCATGGATTCATCTGTGACAAGAAGAGGTCAACCCTGCTGGTATAAGAAGGTGTTTTTTTAATGTTTGCTTTGACAAATATACCAATGACGCTTTAAAATTGCATTAAAAAGATTACATATTGATAAATGTGTACATTGACTAGAAATGTAATAAAAATATTCCAGTCAAAGCTGTAGTGATCTAACAGCAAGCATATGATAATCACAGTAGAGTATAAGAGAAATGTGTTATATAGAGTATTTCTTTTGTGACTAACCAGCATTAATTTATGGTGTGTTTTTTGTTTTGTATTTGTCAGGAAGCTATTGGTCTGGATGCTATTAATGATGCTTTCCTTCTGGAGGGCTCGATTTACCGTCTTCTTCGCAGACATTGCAGAGGACAACCCTACTATGTCCATCTGCTTGAACTATTTACAGAGGTAACACACAAAAGCTTCATTAGTCAGAACACATATAGACATTTAAACTTGGCTTGCTGATACAAATGTCCACAAAATGCATATTCTATCACATTAGCTGCATTTTTTAATACTGTAAACCAGGGGTGTCCAAACTTTGGAGTGTCCAAACTATTGTCTTGCTTATTTTAGTTCCAACCCCAATTAAACACCTGAACCAGAAAGCGCTTTCTAGGCATACTAGAAATTTTCAGACAGGTGTGTTGAAGGCAGTTTGAGCTAAACTATGCAGGACACTGGCCCTCCAGGACTGAGTTTGGACACCCCTGCTGTAAACACTAATTAGGGTGTGCTGAAACTTAATTTTTTTCCTCCTCCTCCCTCTTCTTCTTTTTCTTCAAGACATCTTTCCAGACCGAGTTGGGTCAAGCTCTTGATCTGATGACAGCACCTCCACATAAAATAGACCTTAATCGCTTTACCATGGAGAGGTGAGAGATTGTCTGGAATGCTAAAAGTGACGCTAAAGTAGCCATAATTTTGCCATACAAACTTTTCATGCTAATTTACTACAGTGTTGTGGCCTGATTTACATTTAACTTTCTTGTCTTCACCTCAGATACAAAGCCATTGTCAAGTATAAGACTGCATTCTACTCCTTTTATCTTCCCGTAGCAGCTGCTATGTACATGGTAAGTTTTGTGTAGCAAAGATTTCAGGTGTTCAAACTCTGTTATTTTACAACCCTTTTCATTGTTAGTAAGACAATTTTATTAAAATAAAATAAATTGTGCTGGTTCCACTATCAGTCTGATCAAAATGCTAATCAGTGACATTCTGTAGCATTGCAGAAAATAAAAAGCTAAATAAAAGCTTACTATTAGTTTGAACCATAGGCTAAATTATACACCTGGATCATGAAGGAGCTTGGATCCAAAGAAAAGACAGTGATGACTGAGCTAGAGTGAATGTGTTTTGCTGGACCATTTTGTTTATATGACCTCTGAGCAGTGCTGTCCAAATTGAACCAAAAAATTAAACAAAATTTAAAGCCAAATAAAACCAATTCTCATAACACTGATGAGGAGAACAGCCGAAACATTGTGCAACGCCATTCAGGTTAGTAGAAGTTTCATCCACTTGCCATGATTTTAACATTAATGGAAACCACTGGTGGAAAAGTGGGATATTCATACTGGGTTTTATTTTTTGATTTTATTGTTGAATATTTTAAAGGACTAACTTTGTACTAATATGTTTTAGTTTTTTGCTTTTCACAGTAAATGACATGTAAATCATAAGTTAGGTTGTTAAATATTAGGGGTGTAACGATTTATCGTTGTACGATTTATTGCGATGCAAAAATGTCACTTTATGCATCGTGGCGTTATGACGATTTGATTACGATATGACGTCCGTTTTCTCTTATTAGTTGAGCTGTTTGCACGTGAGCTACGTTTCACCTGCTGTCGCACGTGAGTTCAGATTGCAGCAGCAGTAATGTTAGCAGACCAAGATAAGTGGAGCTGAAATAGAAGATGGCCCATCCTCTCAAAATCAGACGTCTGGCAACATTTCGGTTGTACAGTCAAAGACTCGTTTGCTTTTTGACACGCATACTGGGTCAAACATAGCCGAAGTTTTAAAGTCTTCACAGTGATTTACATACTTTGCACAGCGACATGGATACCTCCTAATGGTGTTAAAAGAGTCACATACTGTTTTATAAGGTACAATTTATCCTAAAATATTATTCTTTCTTCATATAATGATGTATTGGCAGCTGCAAAATCACACATGACGTGAGCTGACCGTGAGCTGTTACTACAGAGAGCGGACTATAATAGACACGCGCACGCGTCTGCTTCAGTGAACAGAACCTGCAGGTTGTGACTAACATTCAGCATTCAACACTGTGACTAACATTCAACATTCAGTTTGTGGAACAGAGTGATCGTTCAGGAACCGCGTGGGAAGAATGAACAGCAGTGGAAATGAAACCGAAAGCGTACACATTATTTAAACAATCATATCGCATTTTAGAGTTATGATTACGACGAGCATGAACTCTTTTGAGTATAGAGGTACACAAAAATGCACGTCAACATGATACACTTGATAGCGCCGACATCAGCGACGCCGAAGAAATAGTAAACCTGCCTAAACTGCTGAAAAGAGCCACGACTGTCCTGTGTAATGAAAAGACGGCCACCCTGTCACTTATCATGCCCAACATGAAGACAGCCATCCATAAAAACCTCTTAGACAGATAAACATCAGTTCAGGATTATTTTATAAACTGCTGATTACCTGGAAATGTAGATTTTTTTTTTCTTTTTGCACACACAAAAAACGCAAGTGACCAAGCAAAGCCTTAAGCTCTTACTGTTAAATTCAATTGAATTGAATCATTTCAATAATATTTTATAAGAAGTTTTTAAATTGTTTTATTTTCCAGAGACAGTCCTGTTTCATTTATTTTCTTTAAGAAGGTTCAGTTTAACAAGTTGAAACAAAAGAAATACATAAAAAATAGTTTACTTGGTAATTACATTTTTTAAATAAAATTAGCATTTCAGTTTAATTTTCAATTTTTATTCGAAATATCGTGATACATATCGAATCGTGAACATTATATCGTGATACATATTGTATCATGAGCTGAGTGTATCGTTAAACCCCTATTAAATATATAAGATGAGGCTGTTACAATTTTCTTGATGAACTAAATTTATTTGTTTCCCGTGTATTAAATAACATGTCGGTTACTTAACTCAAGCTACTGTCAAATGTTCTTGTTAAACAAACATTTCAAGCTAAATGATGATGTTCCAATGCTCTCAAATGTATGTTGTGTGTGTTTTGAACTTTAAATAAATCTGTTTGTGATCGTGTGTTATTGATTACAGGCTGGCATTGAGAATGAGATTGAACACCACAATGCTAAAACAATTCTACTCGAGATGGGAGAGTTCTTTCAGATACAGGTATTGGTATAAATCAGCACTTATATTCTCAAGTAGGGCTTAATGTTTTCTGTGTGAAATCTAGTTAAGAAAATAGAAATTTACTGTATAGCAAAGAAAATATACAGTTGAAGTCTGAATTATTAGAGCCCAACAGAGCAAAGACATTTTCACAGTATGTCTGATATTTTTTTAGAGAAAGTCTTATTTGTTTTATTTCGGCTAGAATAAAAGCAGTTTTTAAATATTAAAAACCATTTTAAGGTCAAAATTATTAGCCCCTTTAAGTTGTATTTTTTAGAGTCTACAGAACAAACCGTTGTTATACAATAACTTGCCTAATTACCCTAACCTGCCTAGTTAACCTAATTAACTTAGTTAAGCCTTTAAATGTCACCCTAAGCTGTATAGAAGTGTCTTGAAAAATATCTAGTCAAATATGATTTACTGTCATCATGGCAAAGATATATCGGCTATTAGAAATGAGTTATTAAAACTATTATGTTTACAAATGTGCTGAAAAAGAAAATCTTCTCTCTGTAAACAGAATTTGGGGAAAAAATATAAACGGGGGGTAATAATTCTGACATTAACTGTACATGAAGTCTGGCAAAATGGAAGAGTGTCTGTGAAATATAACCACTAAATCTGAAAAAAAGACTTTACATTTCAATTTTCTTATGCTCTACATCTCTGTTTTAAGGATGCTTGTGGTGTTTTCATGGTCCTCTTTCAAACTAAATGAGAATTTGAACACGTATGAACAAAATTGTTTTATTTAAGACAATTATTAGTAAGTTATGTAAACACAGTTGCTCAAGCTTCTTCACAACAGCCTGTCAAACTTTTGCTTCGTTCACAGTAATGTAAAAACAGTAGTTGTACAGAATAATATTAATGCTGTCTATTAAGTTACCCAATAAATTGTATTTTTTAATGCCTTCCCCCCCACCCTAATCCTAAACCCAACTATCACTATACTGTAAAAATATTAACTATTGTTATACATTGTCATAAATGCTTCTATAATTAATGTGTACATATCGCACTTCCGGCCTGCCGCGTATCCGATCTAGGCTTTACCGTAAAATAGTGCTGGGTAAAGATTAATATCCAAAATAAAAGTTTGTTTTGACATAATACGTGAAGTTTATTCATAAACAAATTTCGAGAGGATTATGTGCTTATGATTGTTCACAGCTGTTCCAGCATTAGCTCATGACCAATTATCCAATCAGTTGATTCCCAACTCGCTATAAATAACCTGAGATTTCTTATCTCAATATCTTCGTCTTGAAGAACCCACCCAACCCTACTTTCCATCCTTTTAAACGGGCGACATGGTGGCCACTGATAAGCATTGTTGCCTCACAGCAAGAATGCCGCTGGTTTAATTCCCTTCTAAACCAGGCAGGCATTTCTGTGAGTTTTGCTCGTTCTCCCCATGCTTTCGTGAGTTTTTCATAGTTAAGCTCTAAGTGAGTACACCTTTTCTCAGCCATCCATATCCGACACTTAGCTTCAAATAAGCAGGGGGGAGTCATTGAGATCTACCGGAGCTCAAACTCCCCTCTTGCCCTGCAACGGGAGCCCAGGGCTCAAATCTCATAAGCTCAGGACTCTCTCCCTTGACAGCATGCCGAACAAGCTTTATTATCAATCATCAGCTAAGTGTGAACTCTTGAAATGGGTATTATATATTTATCATGCACATGTGATACACACATATACATTAAAACAAAATTCTAAAATAAATATTTTGTTACATAGATTACTAAAACGTGTGTATATAGGTCAGAATTATTAGCCCCCCTGTTTAGTTTGTTCCCCTATGTCTGTTTAAAAATATAAACAGGTGGGCTAATAATTCTGTCTTCAGCTGTTCATAATACATATACACAGTTCATACACAAATATTGCTTATTGATTACTAGAATGGGATTTTATCAATAAAACTGTCAATAATAAATTAATCAATGAAAATTTATTTCAGAAAAATGTGAACACACATTTATATTTTGTGAAAATAAAATAAAAACAGATTTTTCTGGCCCTATTCAATGGTATCCAGGATCTCATTTAATAACTTTGCATACACACAAATCTGTTGGAAACATGTGTACGCCACTTCCCAAACAAAGGTCATCATGTGTTAAAACAAACTTGACATGAATGTTCGCAGCTATAAGAAAACATGTCTAACTCAAATATTGACCAAAATTGAACAATTTTAAATCAGCATATCAGCCATGATCATTAGTTTATTCACTTTTAGGAAGGTTCCTATGCAAAGTTTTACAAACGAAAGCTCAGATCTGTTGTTGTAGTTGTAATATGCCAAAGCCTTCACAGCATGTTTGTTGTTGACAGGATGACTACCTGGATTGCTTTGGTGACCCTGCTGTGACTGGAAAGATTGGCACAGATATCCAGGACAATAAATGCAGCTGGCTGGTGGTGACAGCACTGGGCATCATGACACCCGAACAGAGGGCTGAGCTAGAGGTCAGAGAGCGTATGACGGCTGAATGACAAACAAATATAAGCAAGCAGTATGCTAGATCTGACAGTTTTCTGACTTGCGCTGTCATTTATTTTCTCAGGCATGTTACGGCCGCAGTGAAGCTGAAAGTGTTGAAAGGGTCAAGGCTTTGTATGATACTCTGGAAATGCCCATGCGATATCATCAACACGAGGAGGAGAGCTATCACCGCCTGCAAAAACTGATCCAGCTTCATGCTAAGAATCTGCCTCATGCTGTTTTTCTTAATTTTGCCAAGAAAATATACAAGAGGAACAAATGAGCTGCAAGAAACCGTAAGGACTTGATCAATGAAACCGGGTATTTTAGATACATAGACTAGGGTCAACAAAATATGCAGTGGGGGGTTTTAATAGGTAAATAAATATGGATGTGATAGATTTTAACCGCACTTTAAATATACTTTCAAGAAGTCAAGAACGTGGTCGTGTCATTTATTTGTGTTTTTCCTCTTTTAGTGCAGCAAAAATACAATAAAGTCGGATTTACTGTAGGTATGATGCAGTTTACCACAAGTAACGTCCATGGACAACACATCATTTGTCAGTGTTTTAATAGGGGTACATGTGTATGGAAAATATATTTTGATTGACTGCTGTATTGTCTTTTCAACATCTCTGAGAGAACTAGACTATTAAGAGAAGGGTTAGAAAAGGATATACATAATATGTTTGAGTCTGAAAACCAACTGCTGAAAGGATCTAGATGCACATAATCATTAAAAGGAGTTTTTATACAAAATATTTGCCCACCTGGAACACGGTGGGATTCCTGTTCATGCCGATTCATTCAGAATCCTTCTATCTGCTTAGTTTTTTTTCGTGCGTTACACTTTACAGTATGGCTCCATTTGAGAATGTTTGCTAAATCAGTGACTTATGATGAACAATAGTCATTATTCATCTTTTAATCTTTCAACTCTCATTTGTTAAAGTTAACGAATGCTGCAAAAAAAAAATTAAAATTAATTTATGTTAGTTACTGCAGCTAATCTTAACAAATGCGAGTAAAGTGTTATTGTGTATTGTTTTGAACCGGATGATTGTACTGTACGTTTATACACTATACCAGATACTTCTATATTTGTCTCTCACACATTCAGTGAGTGATCATCATTGCTGTGTTTGGATTATAGAAAGACATTCAGAGTGCTTTAAATAAAGATTCAATTCAGCATGTTTTTATCATTCACTTTTCTGTGTAAGAAAATGGTGTGTGTCTGTCTGTCTGTCTGTGTGTGTGTGTGTCTGTCTGTCTGTGTGTGTGTGTGTGTGTGTGTGTGTGTGTGTCTGTTTGTCTAAGTCTAAGTCTAAGAGGAGTTTTGTGCAGCGACTATACAGACCATTTTGTGGGATATAAACAGTAACAAAGGTCCTATCGTATTTTCTGTTTTACATTGTTAATTCCCGTAGCTTCAAAGAATCCAAAAAGGTCTTTATATTAATAAATAATGGTATAATAGCTGATTTAATTTTAAGTTATAAGTTGCCTCTTGTTATAGTTATGAAATAGTGTGACAACAAGCAGGAAATATTCATAGGCCAATGACATCACCACATTGAAATAGTTTAGAGCAGTAGAGTATGCATAATAGAGTGTTTGTAATTGTGTTTTTTTATTTCACAAATAATTCCTATAAAAATAAAGTCAATTTTTAATCAGAACATTGAAATATAAACTTCAATATGATATTTCATGGACTCAATTTTGAGAGGAAACAAAATACATGTATTTGCATCTTTATTATTATATATTATACAGTGCTCAGCATAACTGAGTACAACCCATTTTGAAAATGAATATTTTTATCAATTTCTCAGTGGATATAGGTGCATTAAAACAAAACAGATTTATTAAACAGATATATTTATTAAAATAATATTTAAGTCACCAAGCATATTTAAAATTGATAGATAATACAATTAAACTCAAGCAAAATATTGCAAATATATATATATATATATATATATATATATATATATATATATATATATATATATATATATATATATATATATAAATATATACAACTTGCGAAATTTCAACAAAAATTTTTTTTTTTTTTTTTTTGCTTCTCTAGGTTTTTTCTCTTTTTTAAAAAATTTTAAAATTTGTATTTAATATTTTTCTTTAACAAATTTGGGTGTCCTAGTTTTTGGAGCATTATCATAAGTAATTTTCTTCGATAAGCTCCAGATTTGGCTCCAGTACTGACTAATATAATATTGTATAGCTTCCTTTTACAAATATGAATTTAAAATATAGATTTGTGAGGGGTGTACTTATGTATGCTGAGCACTGTATAATATATAATAAATATAACATCTATACATGTATTCATTATTTACATCTTATTTGAAGCTCTTTTCTAGAAGCGAGTTCATATCTCACAATTTGTACTGCAATTCTAAAGACAGAATTCTGAGTTCAGATCTTGATTTTGAATGATGCAGACTGTTTCATTAATACTGCAAGACACAAAGTCATAATTCAGAAAACAATAAATAAATGCACTTCTAAAATGTATAAGAAATTAGCTTTATATTTAAAATTTAAATAGTTCACCCAAAAATAAATATGCTGTCATCAATTACACACTGTTTTGGTTGTTTGTTTCAAACCTCTATGAGTCACTTCTGTTGAACACAAAAGAAGATGTTTTGGGGAATGTTGAAGACCTATAAACATTGCTCAGTATTTATTTTGTTCTACTGTGGAACTCAATAGTTGCAGGTTTTCAGCTTTCTTCTAAATATCTTCCTGTGTGTTCAACGGAAAAAGAAAAAGAATAAATCGTAAATGTTTGGAATCATTTGAGGAGTAAATAGTGAGCGAATTTTAATTTTGGAGTGAACTCTCCTATATGTCAAATCATTTCCCCTCAAAATTCAGTTACATTGTTTAATTTAGATTTATCGATGTCGAAGTTGTGTTATTTTGAGTCAGCTTTAAGGGTCTTCATGGGCCTGCATGTACGCTTAGTTTGGAGATTTTAAAACTAATTTCTGACTTCTCCGCAGTTGCAAGTTTAAAATAAGTGAGATAAGCAATTCTAGTAATTGTTAATAAATGTTAATAAAAAATAAAGACAAGTAAGATTTTTTTGTGTGTGATTGTGTGTTAAAAACTAGCTTGATGTGAGGCATAGATTTATACACATGTATGTATATGATATATGATATGTATATATCTATGGATGTGAGGCAGCAGCAGCAGCAGCGCGATGTGATGAGATGCTGCTGAGGGGTGTGGTCTCGAGGACGGGATGAGATGAGGAGATGAGAGGGAAGAGGAGGAGGAGGGCTGAATGACGGAGCGATAGACAGGAGAAAACAGGAGAATAACGGCGTATTATTATTTCAGAGTCATGGATTGTGCGATGGAATAAGGATCGGAATCAACAAGAATGCGTCATTAATATCCTTCCGCAAATTAGGTATGTGTCTTATGTGTTATATTTTCTGTGCGTTTCATTTTACTCTCATTTTTTCCTATAAATGTGTTTTGCAATGCATTGAATTTACATCATAAACACGTTATGTCCAAATTGTATTGTGCTGTACTGATACATTAGCCTACATTAAAGTCCGCGGAGGAGGTGTCATCCTAGCATATTATCTTATTTTTATGCGCTCAAGAAAAATTACTGTTGTCCAAAATTCACGATAATATGCAGTAATGTAAAATGTGTGATGTTCTAGTATGTATTTACACGATTCATGCATTTATTTACTAAATCTCGCGCTAGGCCTAGATTTACATCCTCTGTATCCAAGGACATTGGGCGCGAGCAGTGCATTGCCCACGGTGTTCATGAAGAGCGGAAACAGCTAGTCAGGGATACGATTTTCTGCTCTACATTTCTCCCGCAAGAAAATGTTGTTTTGAAGCGGATAAAAGAGACTTTGATGTTTTAAACTCACATGTTATGAGATCATTTATCTTCTGTCGTGTGGAGTAGATAATATGTCTTCATGCATGGTCATTATGTGTGTAGTGTAAATAACGTAAAATAGCCAAATATGCATATCAGATATCAGAATTAAAATACTAGAATGCATTAAAAAGAGTGAATATGTACACACACATTACTAGATTTCATATTTTTACATATTTGTAAGATATAAATGTTTATATTCAGAGTACTTGTGTCTACATTAGGTTACAAATAAACTGATGCATACAGTTTCTGTTTTTTCAGATCAAGTTTAACAGAATTGTGTGTGTGTGTGTGTGTGTGTGTATTATGCTTTGATACGCTGGAAATAATAAAACTGTTAGGTATCAGTGGAGTGGAAAATAATATATTATTTTCAAAATATATTAAATAATATTTAAATAGTTCATTTTTACATCCTGCTCCTCAAGTAAGGTGATGCATTTGTTTTTATTTATGTATTTCTTAACAAAATCTATTTTTCTTGATATTTCAGACATTAATTATATCCAGGATGTGATCCCCAAATGTTTACAAACTTTTAAGACAAGCATCAACCTAAAAATCAGGACTTAAAAGCTATTCCACCATGCACCCCTCCTCTCGTCCCTCTGTGCCCCCACGTACCCGCAGGTTTGACAATAGGCGCACAGAGCCAAAACCAAGTCAAGGGGCCAAGAGGGAGGACAAAAATATGAACACAGGATCTTCATCCCCTCGTCGTGGCACTCGAGGACCACCCGAGTCTTCCAGGTTAAAAGGCCCTGGTCAAGGTGCAAGGGCCCCAGTGGTTCAGTCCAAACTGACTCGGCCAGTGAGGAATGGTGCTCACGCAATACCAGCAGTCTCAAAACCAAAAAGTGGGCGCGCTGTATCAAACCTAGCCCCAGCTGTGGACCCAAATTGCAATGAGCCCAGCCTTCCTTGTCTGTGCTGTGATGGCCATTCACCTCAGGATAGCAACAGCCTTTTTAATCACAACCATAACAACAATAACACTGTAAACATCAGGCAACAAATGAAGATACCGCCACCATCTCCTCCGAATGAGTTGCCTTTTCCAAAACAAGAAACTGAAGACGATAAGTGTGAGCCAGAAGTAAAACAACCTGATGACTTACCTTTCCCAGTGGAGGAGAAAGAGGAGGAAAATGGTAATGTGGATAAAAAAGAGGGCGATGACCTCAAAAATGATGACTGCAGTGTAAACGTGATTGGCAATGTTGATGTGAATGGCAATGGCAATTGTGATGGGGATGATGATGAAGATGACGATGAAGATGATGATGATACTCTTGTTCCTTCTTGCTGCAATTGCCCAGAATCCATGCTGGACTTCTCTCTCACATCTTCTACCTCATCTTCTTCCACGTCCATTAGTAGCTGCTCAGATCTGGAGTGTGACTGCCCTGATACATTTTCATTGTCATCCCAGGACCAAGAAGGCCCAGAATGTTATCCATCTTCTTGTTCCCCACTCTCCAGCTGTCCTTCCTTTCAGTCCAATGCCATACCATTGGATCTCAACCTTTCTGCAAGATCACCTTGCTCTTCTGATGAAGGCTATCCATCAGCACCTTGCTCTCCTTCTGACTACACAGAGGGCAAGTTTTCAGAAGAAGAAAAATGTATTAAAGTGGATCTTCTCCATTTTTTAGACTCCATAGAAGAGTTGGGTAAAATGGATTTGTTCTACCGCATTGTTAGGCTGGCACATTGGCAACTTGATGGAGAACTGATTCTCAGAGATAGGTTGGACCACCAGCAGAAGCTTCAAAGGGTCAACAAAGAAGTGAAGTTGGCTTATTTTGTGAAACTTCAAGAAGAAGGGTTCAACTTTGGCGATGAGGATATCACTGGAGTTTTGGACGAAATGGGCAACATTGACATTCCATGGAAGTTATATAAAAGCAACAAATCAAGTGACTCCCAGGAATTTTCTGATGCTGGGGTGGATCTGACAGCTCCTTCTGACCTTGATGAAACTGCTTCCTCTGATTCACTTGCTCCATCACCATTAGAGCCTCCTCCCCGTCCCCCAAAGCCTCCAACAAGGCATGTGAGTGTTCAGCAGGGATCACACACTTATGAGAACATCAGTGGGCATACCTTCTCAGCCCCATCCACCAATAATGCTACTTCTTTCTCCACAAGTGTCCCTGTTCCTTCCATGGCATCTACATCCCCAGCCTTGAAACCTCCTGCCCTTCCGCCTCCACCATCACAGCCTGTGCCCTACTTCTCTCTTAATTCAGACAGACCTGCTCACTCCTCCCCCACACCACCCATCCCTCCACCAAGAAGACGTCATAAAGCCCGACTAGAGGCTCAAAGACTTGCTGAACTTGAAAAAGAAAAGACTCCTCTATCCCTTCCACCTCCAACGTCAAGACCTCCTCCGTTGCCACCACCACCTGCTATGTCCTCTCCCCCAGCTATCCCACCTCCACCATCAATCCCACCGCCTCCATCTTTTCATGCTCTGGATGTGGAAATCCGAAAGTTGCTTGCACTAGCAGGACTCACCCAAGCTGAATTGCTTAAACTTAGTCCTGAATTGGGTGTTTGTGTAGACGTAGTTGTGGATAATGAACAGCATCCAATGTCTGATGTCTCACAAATTGGAGAAATCAGTGCAAACAGAGCACACAAGGAAGACAGTATGGATAAGCGGTTACATTGCAGATTGAGGGAAGAAACCAGATTTGGGAAAGATATACAGAAGGTAGAAACTCTAAGTGAAAACGAGATTTCTAAAGACGGGCAGAAAGAAGCTTACAGGACAACATCCTTCACAGAAATGGCAAGACGACGAAAGAGAAATAGTGGAAACTGTAACCAAAACTGCAACTGTGGTTTTGGATCTCCCAACTTGTATTACAGCACTGATCTTAGCAATACAAGCATCCCAAATGTTAGCTTTGGAAGTTTTGATTATACTTCAGTGATTTCAGACACCCCACCTCCTCCACCTCCACGACCATTACCCCCTTGCCCACCAGTTATTTCCAATCCTCCTGAACTTCCCCATCTCAAGCCATGCACTCTACCTGCCAATGCATCACGACCTGATCGATTTGATTGGCTGATAGCCTTTACCCCAGATATTGAGCCACCACCTACTGATATGCGAAAACCATCCAATGATGGCATGTTGCCAAAAGGCTCAATTTCAGGCCCAAAAGTCACCACTTTTAAAGAATTACGCAATAGAAGCAAACAGAGCTCCCCACCAGCTCCTGTTCAACCAGAACCTGATCCAACAGTCATCACTCCAGACCCTGATTTCTTGTACAACCTCAAATGGAGAAGAGAGAAGACAGATGGAGATGGCTGGGAATATACTTCCCAAGCACAAGCCTCTTTTCTTCAGCCTCCGCCAACTCCTGCCTCATTGTCCCTCTTTAGGGAAATGTGCCGCCTGAATATACAAGATGAATGCAGAGCCGATCCTAAAGTCTCCCAACAAATGGGCTCATCAGTAAGTGAAGGCAGCCTTAGGACTATTTGTGGTGATAAAGCTGCTCACACCAAAAAGATTCAAAATGAAGATGACCTGGAGGTCAGGGGAATGGCAGATGGAGCATGGACTTTGGAGTCCAGGACAACAGGTAAAGTTGCATTTTATAAATATATGTTTTCCCTGACATGTTCTGTTTTAGAAAGTTCATCTACATCACAAGTAGCAAAAAATCAATGGTATATTAAGAAGAGAATAAAAGAACAATGATCTGATGATATGGAAAGTGGTGAGCCAAGATGAGAATCACACAGGCAAATGGGTAGATGAATCAGCAGAGCAAGACTAGAGGGAATCTCAGAATGCAGCAGGCTTAATGCTGTGTTGTTTCTCATGATGTCACAAAGCCTTTTAATTATTCATCCTCTCAGCAGGCCAAGTCCTTTTCTCTCATCCTCTCTTCCTTTCCCTGCCACATATTCTCTTATACTTTCCTCAATCAACCTTCTTATTTTTCAGGCACTCGTATGTGATTTTTATGAATTGAAATCAAAAGGATAAAAATTTCAAAACCTTAAGTAACCCACCATCAAAAATATTGTCTCATACAGTAGTCTTTATGCTTAGTGCTCACCTCTTTTCCAAACATCAATCAGAGGAACCCATATTTCTGTCAATCTTTTTTTGTAATTAACTCTACTGTAAAAAGAGCGAACCTCAATTCCAGTGAAAAACATCACGTTAAGGATTTTTTCCCACATTGAAGTCTATTGTAGGGAAAAAGCTTAACGTGGCTTAATGTACTTTAACAACAAGCAGGTAAAATCAAATTTCTATCAAAATTTTCTCTTGATAAACACTTTCTGGTGTCAAAAGAATGAGCTCTAATTTTAGTGAGTGAAAATTTTCACATTATGCATTTTAGGTCCATTATAAAAGAAAAAAAGCTTACCATGGCTTAACGTACCTCAACTAGTAGGGCACACCAAAAATCTATGAAATTTTACTTGTAATTAACACTAACTACTAGCAAAAGTTCAAGCCCTGATTCTGTGGATAAAGTGAACAATATCACATTATAAGCATTTAATTCCCATTGAAGTCCATAAGAGCGTGAAGTTTATTTATAAACTAAATTCGAGAGTATCACGTGCTTATGATTGCTTGAAACCGGCCCCGCATTATTCAATTTATGATTCATCAGACAATTCTTAAGCCACTGTAAACACCCTGAGTTCCATACAACAGTCATCTTTGTTTTAAAGAAACCCCCCTTCCACCCCTACTCCTCCTCCTTTCCTAGATGGGTGGCATGGTGGTCCAGTGGTTAGCACTGTTGCCTTACAGCAAGCACGTCACTGGTTCACTGGTCACACATTCTCGCCTTGCTCACTTGGGTTTCCCCCGGTTTCTCAGTTTTCCTCCCACCATCCAAAAACATGCAACTTATATTAGTTGACTAATCCAAATCAGCACCATAGACATGTTCTTATAAGTAGTTATCTCTTAAGAGCATTCACTATCTGTTCATTAGCTACTACAGCAGGGGATTTTTCGAGATCTACCCGAGCTCAAACACCCCTCTCGCCTTGCAAATGGGAGGGAGCCCCGGGCTTGAGGATCTTATGAGCTCAGGGCTCTCTTATAATCAATCATCAGCTAAGTATGAACGCTTGAACTTTTATCAAAAGAACCGTTCCCATAATTCCATACATAAAGTAAACAATATCACGTTAAGCGTTTTTCTCCTCATTGTAGTCCATAATAAGGAACGGCTTAGCGTAACTTTACAGCAATCGAGGGAAACCAAATGTAAAAAGGCTGTTCATAAAGTCAAATTTTATTTATAATAGAATAACCGTTGCTGTCAAACGAATTTGCAACAATACTGTAGGGGAAAACGCATTATTGTTCACTTTAGCTGTGGAAACAGGGCTCATTCTTTTGCTAGGAGTTAGTGCTAGTCACAAGTAAAATTTAACAGAAATTTGATTTTCCCCGCTTGTTGTTAAGGTAAATTAACATTAAGCTTTTTGCTTATAATAGACTTCAATGGGGAGAAAACACTTTATCTATCACTTTTTCACTTTATCTATGGAATTGGGACTCGCTCGTTTAAAGGTTCAGGACACCCTGGAGTCAGTTAAGACAATGTTAGCCCTGTCAGCTTGAAATGTGGGGAAAACTGGCTAATTTCAGCTTCCGAGTTTAAAATTATTTTTGGGGTGGGATCAAAATCGGCGACGTAGCGCAGTACTGCAAGTGCAATGATGACGCGTCAGTTTCTCATTATTATTCATAGCGGAGTTTTCTTATCCTATGAGAAGAGCCGGCTGCTTAATTATTCATGAGAGCATGTGCTTTCCGAAGGCAAGACAGACCTGCCAGTTTCAAGCAAGCTGTGAGACACAGACCCACGGCACGCAGTAGACGTTCATGAAGACTCGTATGTGTTTGTTTCCATGATCCACAGGGTTTGTTGCATGTTTTTCCCCGCGATGTTGTCAGAGCCGATCATACAGCAAAGCTGTGTGTGTGATGCAAGCATTTTTGTCGGGAGAGCAGTGCGAGAATTGAAGAATGGCGGACGTTGACTTTCATCAGGAGTTCGTTCACATTCAGACACATCGCCGTGCTGCTGTGTTTGCATAAATCCTCTATATTACCAGCAGGGCTAATGATTAAAATAGGTCAGGAGACCTGCTGCACTGAGTCTGCATTCAGATCTATAATTTAGACCCGGGGATCGAGGGAGAATCCTCATTTATAGTGTTTACATAAACACACTTATCTTTATAATGATATAAATTGTGGTATGAAATTATGAATAACAAATGTAGCAGGGCATTAAATTACTGTTTATTTCTTTGCATTTTAACTTTGTTAACCGTAAACTCACGCGTATCCTCACGGTTTGTGTCTCATTTTGTGAGCTAACTGACAACAACAGTTGTTTGCTCCCCTTCTCCCCTGCTGGCCACGCCCACTCCACGCCCATTAATCATGCATCTTTTAAAAAAATTCTCAAGTAGACTTTAACCGAAAGTGGGGGTTGCCATCGCCCTTTAACAGTAGTTAGGGTTAATTACAAGAAAGGTTTGACAGAAATTTGGTTTTATTTGATGATGTTTAAATACATTTAGCCACGTTAAGCTTTGTTCATGTTAAGTATTTTAGAATGTCCCTTTCCACTCTCCTCAACCTTCCTTTGTCATTTTTCTGACATGCATTGTTATCCCCATTTATCAAATTGATTCTCCTATGCTTGTTATTCTCTCCTCTTATTATTTTCAATTGGCCATTTCACATTTGCTGTGCTCTTTTCGGTTGTTTATCTGCCCAATGGAAAATGCAAATTTGCTTGTATCGGGTTACAACACATTTGACATCAGATTTAAATGGCCTCTAATGTGGCTGTAAATTGAGTAGGAAATACATTAGAGGGAGCCCTCATTTTGGTTTACAAGGTTAGCACGTTGCACAACTCTGCTAAAAGCATGGTTTGGCTAATTAATACTAATCCTTTTTCGTTAATATTAGCATTCACGATTTTTAAACTTACTGTTTATTTCTTCAAGTTGTGTGTGTGATTTTTGTGTGTTTTATTAACAAACTGCTATTTAGTGAAGCATATATTTTTCTAGCTAGCACAAGAACATGACCTTATGCCTTTAAGTGTAGCAAAGGTATGACTCAGGCCTTTACACCAATCACAACACAGCAACAAAGAAAGAGGAAATGCTGAGTCAATCTGATTTTTGAGTGAGACGTTTGAGAGAGATGTCAGCACAGTTCCGGTAATGTGATGTTTTTTATGCAAGCAAATCGTAATATTCAAGTGATATGTGCTGTTTAATGAAGCATAATGAAGTGTAAAATGTTTTTAGTTTATGATTCGGTTTTGTTAGACGTTTGCAACAGGCAGTCCAGTATTATGAAAGAAGGTGATTGCCAGTGTTCTGTGTCTGAAACTGCTTACAGTATGTCAAGGCCTTTGCCATTGCAGGTGAAATGTGATCCTAATGCAGCTAGAAAGAGAGAGTTCATGCTTACTGGTTGTTGGTTGATGAGGAATCAGATGTATTGCTGATAGGTTTTACACACTGTATGCCTTCATAGAAAAGCAGTATATATATTTTGAAGATGATTTGTTTCAGTTATACAAATTTAAAGCATACGGTACTTACTATTCTGTGCAGTTATTAGGGCTGGGTATTGAGTTCAATATTTTTTAGGCATTGACAGAATTGTTGAAAATGTTGAAAAATGTCAAAAATGCTATGACATTGGTAACTCTTGTCAATGTTAGCAAACCAAGTGGCAAATCTATGGCAAATAGAAACTGATAGAAAGATACAGTGCTCAGCATAATTGAATTAAAAAACAAAAATGAATAATTTATCAATTTCTCAGTGAATATAGGCATTTTGGTGCATTTAAACAAAACAGATTTATTAAACAGATATATTTATTAAAATAATATTTTAGTCACCAAACATATTTAGAAGTTGAAAGATAATACAATTAAATTCAAGCAAAATATTGCAAATATGTTACAATCTACAAAATTTCAGCTAAATTTTTACATTTTTTGCTTCTCTTAATTTTTCCTCTTTTAAAATTTGTATTATTGTAATATTGTTCTTTGACATATAAATTTGAGTGTACTAGTCTTTGGACTGTTATCGTAAGTTACTTTGTTAAATAAGCTCCAGATTTGGCTTCAGTACTGATTAATCTAATGTATATACACAAATATAATATTGTAAAGCTTCCTATTAAAAAATATGAATTTAAAAGAGAGATTTGTGAGGGGTGTACTTATATATGCTGAGCATTGTAACATGTAATCTTGTTAAAAAAAGGAAAATTGCAAAAAAAAAAAAAAAGTATTGTTCTGGAACTGATATTGAATTTAAAGTATTGGTAATTGTAAAAATAAAAGTTATAATAGTAATAAAAATAATATTAACAATAAAACAAAAAAAAAGAAAATGTGTGCACTTGACTGATTAGCTTTATTGAGGTTTTGAAAATGAATTTGAAAATTGATTGAAATTATAACATAACTTCTTTCTATGAGCTAAAATAGGCATTATTTTTAGCCTGTTCTTACCTGTGAAACTTTTTAAGCAGCATTTCATAAAATGTGCCATTCCATATCAAGTGTGCTATTATTTTGTCATCTTTTTTAGCCATGTTTTAATGTTAGTATAATCAGGGGCGGATTTAGTGAATTTAGGCCCTAAGCAATAAGGCCCAAGTTCTGAAATGCACCCTTTCAATGTTTATTTAATATTTATTTATATTGTTGCTAGGTTTTTTATATCAATCTTATTTTTCGACATATTATATTAATGCAGTCTCTACATTTTAAATGATTAGTTTTCTTAAAATGAAGTTGCAAAAAAAAAACATTTTATATATAAGATTATATATATATATATATATATATATATATATATATGTATATGTATATATATATATATATATATATATATATATATATATATATATATAGTTTACAGGTGTAATTTATACTTATAAATATTTATTGGGGGCCCCCCAGATTTATCTGGGGTCCTAAGCGGCCACTTACCTTGCTTATTGGTTAAATCCGCCCCTGAGCATGATTAATACAACAGAGAAAATCCTCTCCTTAAATATAGCGTATTGAATGTCTAAAAGAGTTCTCTATCATCTGTTTCATCATATTTACATAAGTGCATTCTCTCTTCAAAATGACACTAACATTGTCCCATTCTCTCTTTTTTCTCCCTCTTTCTTCACTGTTTGCTGGTTTACCATCCTTTCCCATTCTTTCCATTCTGACTCTACGTCATGTTATACATTCATGAATTCTTCACCCCACACCTATAATGCTCCTGTTAAAGTGTCCTCACCACCCCTGTCCCTTTCCTTGACCTCACCTTATTACCTGCACTCTGCTTCCCTGTCACAAGCCTCCCAATTTTATCACACTGACACTACCAGTGATCACGCCATGTCCTATTATGAGGGTTCCGTAAACATCTCGAATCCCTTATGCATAAATTCCACTTTTGACTGCAGCAAACACGACTATACTGACTCCCTGTACTCCGCCGGCCCGGAAAACAATACATTTTTGTTCTGTAAACAAGAAAATGGTCTCAGTGGTGGCATGGATTCTCAGTATCACCACTGTTATCATGCTGACAGCTTTCTAGATTCTTTATACGTCTGTGGGCATGAGCCTGGTAGTGCAAAAAACAGCTTCTGCCCTGTGTATAACAATGAAGTTGATTCAATCAGAAATGACGGTTCACTCTACAGTGATAGTAGATACTTAGGAAACCCCCTGAAGCTGTTCACTGACCCTGAACCACCGACTGACATTAACACACTCACTGAAGGAGACATAACACCTTACAAAAACATCGACATGCAGACTTACATAACAATGCGAAACCTTAAAAATAAGAGCAATGCGAAAAAATCCACTTATAAAGATGCCGACTCGCTTTTTGAGTTGAACTCGGGCAACATTAATGATTCAAAACCGTCTAACAATCCATTTTTTGACAGTGGTGAACCCACAAAACAGGACAAACTTGTATCTTTCCCTGCCTACTACCTTTATAACCCTAAAAACTGTCCCTTGCATAAAGGCGCCCCACCACGGCTTTCCCCCGTAGGTGCGATCTCTCCTCCCCACAGGTCCGGGCCTCCAGTTCCAGGCACAGATGTTGCCCGTCTCTGTTCACCCCTTTTCCCTCGCAGTCACACCATTCCCGCCCTCGCTGCTCCCCTTTATTACCCTTATCTGTACACCCCCCCTGTTGAAGCTCCTGTGCGGGAGCCACCGGTCCCCATACTTCACTCTCTGCAGAGTCCACCACCGCTCACTTTCAGTAAGAGATCAGCGCATTCTCATTTCTCTCACTTCGTCCTCCACCTCTTTCCACCTTTCTTTGATTCTAAAGCACCATGTCTGTTTGCCGATGTGTCTCATACATGTCTTGTTTAATTTATAGCACTGTCGGTGTTTGTGAAATTGTGAAAAATGTTCTTGTCTGTTGCATGATGACCTCAGTTTCTGAATGTGATCAATTATTGCTTATTTCATTTTGTTTTCTTTTATTTGCAATGTTATATTATACAATATGTGAATATTATGTTAAATTAAAGCTACACTACGTGGGTAACTTTTAGCCCTCCAATAGTTGATTTATAAAATTACTTGGAGTTTTTTTTTTTTGTTTGTTTGTTTTTGGTTCTAATGTGAGTTTGGAATTAGATAATTGAGTTACTCTCATGTTTTTATTGTGTGACAACTTTTGTACATTTTGGGATTTTTAAACCAGAAAAAAAAACAACTTTAGCTTGGATCTATAAGATTCTGTCTGTGAGCTAATCAGACTTTCAAGAAGACCGCAAGAGGACTAAACAGAATCATCTCAGATTGATAATTCATCCATGTTAAATTCTTGACACTAGCAAATAGAGAGTATTATGATGCTGTGTTGAAATAAAATAATGAAACATACATACAGTTGAAGTAAGAATTATTAGCCCTCTCTGAATTATAAGCCCCCTGTAAATTTTTTTCCCCCAATTTCTGTTTAAAGGAGAGAAGATTTTTTCAGCACATTTCTAAACATAATAGTTTTAATAACTCATTTCTAATAATTTATTTTTTTATCCTTGTCATGATGACAGTAAATAATATTTTACTAGATATTTTTAAGACACTTCTGTACAGCTTAAAGCTACATTTAAAGGCTTAACTGGGTTAATTAGGTTAACTTGGCAGGTTGGGGTAATTAGGCAAGTTATTGTATAACAATGGTTTGTTCTGTAGGTTATCGGAAAAAAATAGCTCAAAGGGGCTAATGATTTTGTCCCTAAAATGGTTTTTAAAAAATTCAAAACAACTTTTATTCTAGCTGAAAAAGTAATACTTCTCCAGAAGAAAAAATATTTCAGACATACTGTAAAAATTTCCTTGCTCTGTTAAACATCATTTGGAAAATATATAAAAAAAAATAATAATAATACAAAAATTTGATCCTGCATTTGTGCACAAATCTCTATAAAGATGATGTACATTTTTAAATGCTTTTATGAACATGTTTATGAAAATCTTACCCTTTGGAAAAAATCATGTGATTGATTTAGATGCATTGTATTACAATAAGATGAAATGTAAATATTTTCTATTGTTGGTTATTATAGCAGGTTTCTTAAGTGTTTTAAATGTGAGATATTTTTAATGATAATATGCTATAAAATTGTACAGTATTAAGATTTAACTGTCAATTGGTCAACAGTTTAATTGATAGGGTCTTAATTATAAAAATAAACATTAGTTTGAGTCATGCTGATCTACAGAGTTTTTGCTTTATGCCTGAAAAAGGAGATTTATTTTGTACTAATGGTATAACAAAAACTGTTAAAAACTTCAGTCAATGTTTTTCTGTGCTATAAAGCGTTATTATGTAATAATTTCCATCTTTTTAGCTTTTTTTTTTAAGAAACAAATTTATTTATTTATTTACTAAATATATTTATTTTCTTTTTTAAATATTTCCCTAAAGATGTTTAACAGAACAAGGAAATATTCACAGTGTGTCTGGTGATATTTTTTTTCTTCTGGAGAAAGTCTTATTTGTTTTATTTCAGCTAGGATAAAAGCAGCTTTACATTTTTAAAAACCATTTTAGGGTCAAAATTAATAGCCCCTTTAAGCTATTTTTTTTTCGATAGTCTACAAACCATCGTTATACAATAACTTGTCTAATAACCCTAACCTGCCTAGCTAACCTAATTAACCTAGTTAAGCCTTTACATGTCATTTTCAGCTGTATAGTAATATATAAAATAAATGGGGGCTAATTATTCTGACTTCAGTTATATATTTGATATATTAAATGCATATATTTGTATATTAAATGCAGAGTTTATGAAAATCTCATAATAATATTAGTAATAAATAAAATTATAAATTAAAATAATAAATAAAATTAAGTGATTGATTTAGATGCATTGTATTACAATAAAATTAAATGTAAATGTTTTCTATTGTTTGTTAATGCAGCAAATTTCTTAAATATTTTAAATGTGAGATATTTTTAATGATAAAATGTTATAAAATTGTACAGTATTAAGCTTTGAAGGTCAGATGGTTAGTAGTTTATTAAATGGGGTCTTCTTAAATACAATAATAATCATTAGTTTCGGTTAAGCTTGCTTTATGCCTAAAAAAATGGAGAGTTGTTGTGTACTAGTGTTATAATAAAAAACTGTTAAAAGCTCCAGTTAATGAAATCATGTAATCATTTCTATATGTTTTAGATTTATATGGTTCTACAAATGGTTCTATGGTTCTATCTTTAAATTTGAAAGATTTTTGATGTACATGTAATACATTTAGGGTCTGGCCATTTTCATGTATAAAAGACGCCATATCATTTCTGCTATGAAAAATGTACAAAAGCTCATTATCCCAGACCTTGATCATTCCAAGGTGAGTTGTTTTTGTGCTATTTTGCACAGATTATTTATGGCTCAAGGCTAAAATGTTGGAAACTATTAGAACTTTGGCTAGAAAGCTTTAAGGCAAGTAGGCCAATAAATAGTATAGATACCTGCATTGTAAACCATATAAACTCTGCTTATGCACCTTTCTCTCCATATACTGTAGTAGTGTCTGAACTGCTTTCCTGTATTTTAAAATGTATGACATAAAATTTGATCCGCTTATAAAGCTTATGACAAATACACCAATTCAAACTCGAATATTTGAAGTATTTATTGATGATGTAAATGTTATTGATAAGGGGGAAAAAGTTACATAGTGTGGCTTTAAAAATCCTTTTTTTAATATAGATATATGCACATTGCTCTCGTTTAACATGTATCTTGATTTTATGACCTTTATGTATTTTATTGTACTGTTAACCTAACTTTTATATTTATTTCATTTGAAAATGATTTTCATAAAACGCTTCTCAGCATGTCTTGTTTTTCCTTTATCTAACAGTAACGCATGAGACCAACCAATATATGTCAAATCAAATCCAAATATTTTTCAAATGAATAAATCACTTACATCATTTATTCATGAATATTTGTACCTATACACGTTCCTCACAAGCTGCTGTCATGTACTGCACTGGATGGCTCAAGATCAACTGTAATACATGATCTTCTAATAATTGAGTTTCTAACCCCACCCTGCTGTTTTTCCTCTTAATAGCTGTCCGCAGCTTTTCTTTTGCCGGATCTGAGCAGAAGAATGGGGCCTGGATGGGAGAGGATGTGAGGTCCTCAATGAGTGCTGAAGGGCTGTCTTCTGTATGCCTGCTAGAAAAGAAAAGTAAGAATATATGATTACTGAAAAAAAGTGTTTTATTGTTTTTTTATTTTACTTTTGTAAATAATTGTCATTTAATGTGTTTCTGTCACAAAGCTCTTGTCAATTCAGTCAGTGTGGCAGTGGAGGCCATTTTGGCTCAGTTCAGTTCATCCAGGACTGTTGTTCAGAAGGTATGTGCTGTGCTAATTTAACTTTTCAAATTGGCATTATTAATTTCACTTTAGTTTAAAGAGCCCCTATTTTGCATTATAAAAGATCATTTTTGGTTTTGGGGGTCTCCAACAACAGGCTGCATGCACGGTCAAAAAACACTTTCATTGTCTTATAATATGCAATATTTTTTTATCTAATTATCCCAATGATCCCATATGATTCGTTCAGTGATTCATTTGTTCCCAAACCCCTCCTTTGTGTGAGGCTAAACTTAGAGACAACAAACAGAAATGCCCACCAAGGCTATGAAGTAGCACACAGAGTATGTGAGAGGCCAATGCAGGAATGCAATAAAGCAATGCAGTTAAAGGGCCAGGAACCTCCTCTGTCTCAGCAAGGTTTTTTCACACCTCTAGCTTGAAAAAAAAAACAAGGCAACGTGACAAACAAGGATGCAAAGAACTGCTGGAAGAGTGTAGTTTTTAATGGAATATTTAATCACCCACGTCGTATGGGAGAAAAAAAAAACTCCGCATTTCTCTGTAACTTAGATGGACTAGGTAGGTAGCTTCAGAAAGCTGTGTGTGTATAAACTATCCTGTCACAAAATGCAGCAAAAATCCTACACGACGGTAATAGTTTGATTAAGGTGTTTTCTAAAGATGTTTACACTCAGAGAGCAGCATTTAAACCGGATCTTTCAGTCCATAATATTGCAGTGCTATTAACATACTGTAAACTTAGTAACTAAATTATTTTGACTATGGTATGTCTTTGAAAACTGAAAGAGTACTTCTGGCGACACAAACTAACTTTTCCATCTGAATAAACATAAACAAAGAATATTGATTAATCACTTTATTACACACTTACCAAATCTGTAGAGACAGGACAATGACACAAACTAGAGCAGCCTTTTTTTTAAATAAAGACGAGCGGCAAATCTGGATTTCACAATTTCCAGAGGCAAAAAGCTCTCGGGTAAAAATGTTCCTTACAAACATATTGCTGTAGCTTGTTGCATGCATCGTAATTCACATGTGAGTCCAGCTGTGCTCTCATAGCGGGGAAATGAAAACAAAACCTTCGTTGCAGCACATTTATAAATGCTACACTGACGACCCATGTCTCCAAACAATTCTTCTTCCACTTGTTTTGGTAACACAACATTGCGTCTTCGAAGCTATATCATGCATATTAATGAAGTTGCACCTCATTCACAATAGGGCATGCTGACTGGTTTGAAACAAGTCTTTCTCATGAATTAATGCTGCACTCAAACATGTCACGTTGTACTTGCTGGTACAGACATCCAGTCTCCACACTGGAATACATGCATAGATCTAATCATTGTGATGTAGCTTCAAAAATTTGTTTCAAACCAGAAGAACGAAATAACGCACTTTTAAGTGAAATATATGTGTCCTAATAGTGTTTTTAGCAGCATGGGATATGACTGTCAACATCTCAAAAAATGTGTTTTAGTGTTTTGTGACCAGCATATTACTCTACTCTTAACGCTAACCCCAAGTAATAACAATGACACGCATTGACCACGCCACCCTTGTGTAAAAAAAGCTGATGGTGGCCATAGCAAAGACAAACGGCAGAGGATTGCGACTTCAGAAACAGATTTAAATCGGTAAAGGAAGAAGCACACGTCGTGTTTTCAACATGGTTTTGGATGAAATATGTAAATAGCCCATAAACATTAAACCTGAGAGATAAAGTACAAGCACTGATCTAAGTGATTACAAGCTGTGCAGAGCAATTACAAGTTACAACATGCAATTAAATACATATTTTGCAAACTACATAAAACAAGGCAACAATTTTAATTGCACTTACATGTTATGATCTGGAGGAAGAAGAAACTGGTCCATATGAACTGTAAGTCTAACAAAGTCCCATACATAAAAGTCTCTGCTGCTCCTTCTTTTAATCGCAAATGGCCGACAATTCTTGCATTGCAGGTTAGGTTATTATATCATAAATCAGAAAAATGACAGGAGCAAACACAGCAATAGGTTGGCTATACTGTGGTGTTGTGAAAAATAACTTTACCCCTTTATTCCCCACAACTTCATCATTGTGGAGGATAGTAGCATCTGTGTGCAAGTCCAATATGAACTAAGGATAGCTGATGTTGTGCTGCATCTTCTTTTGTTTAAAGGTAACTGTGTAGTTACTAATGCAGTGAAAATCTGTTTGCAAATTTTATACACACGAACCCATTAGTGCATTGAATGACTTTACGTCTTTGTGAGCTAAACTAAGTTTTTGTGAACTGAGCATTGTATCAGTTGATGAAATACGGTTATTTTCTGTAAATTTAAACAGTCCCATAAAACTTCCAAATTTTTACAAAAAGTTCCTGTCAACAACTGCCGGTATTTTTCCATAAATTTAACAGATTTTTTTAACAGTGTAAATAAATTAAAGCCAAATTATAAATGTTGTGTTGATTGAACTAAACAACATTACATTTATGTAACTAACTTAAGTTCACTCAAATAATTACTCTTTCTTTAAGGTAACTTAACTCGGTTACGTGGAACCTGTTGACATAAAAAAGTTAATTAAAGCCAACATATCATTTTTTTTTGAGTGGAGTGATTGTCATTTTCATGTCATGATCAGTTCCGTTATTCCCCGTGCTCCGCTAGCATCTGAAGGGAAAGCTACATTCATTTTTTACTAGATCCAGTACTATATATTTGGTGATGTACCCTATTGAGGTCAACGCGTTTAAGCAAAAGATCCGAACCCGACACAATTCATTTATTAGACTATTTAGTTGACCATTTCATTAAAGAATCAATTGTTTGAAACACAGTGCACTTTCAGATTTAAACCTCAGCTGGATGTTTTCATTCACTTTGAGCTTTGTTAAACATCTGCATGGAAGGTCATTTAAAAACCCATAATAGGGGCTCTTCAATATAAGCCTTGACCGAATTGATCATTGTTGTATTATGGTGCAAATGTAGTAACTATGTTTTTTGGCACATTTACTACCAATTGTATAGCTACAGTTTTATTGCAAAACCAAACTATTGTTTGTATTTCGAAACCATGGTTAATATATGGATACTCTGGTTTAACTAAAATAACCTTTTTTTGTATTATTAAATGGTTAATAACATTGTTCATTCACAGATAAAAAAAAAATGAAACAAAAAAGAATGAGTAAATCCGTACCTGTTTTTTTTCCTTCTATCTTCATGCCACTTTCATGCACTTGGCTTATCTCTACCTTTTTATTTCTCCAGTTTCACTCAGTAGATAAGGTACTTCGAAGTTCATAAATATGAGCTTTGCGAATGACTTATTTGCACACTAACCTCATGCACCTTTTCACCTCTTTCTTCTATTTTCATCTCTATACCTTTTAAATTCATTTGAATCACCTTATCTTATATCATTTTTTCTGTTGTTCCATTGCTTTGCACATTTTTTTATTCTTTCTCTGCCTCTTGTCTATCTTCCATTTTCCTTTCCTGACCTCTGTTGACAGAGCCTTTCTGGAGACAGCAGTGTAAATCCCTCTCTTGGTCGTCTGGTACTGCAGTGCCTTTGCCCAGCCCTGCGCAGCCTGCTCTGTGATGGACTCAAGCCCCACCAGAGTGACCTCATTGCAGGCAGAAGGCCAAATTCACCCTGGGGTTTGGTTCAGGCCTCCACCAAACCAGGTAGACATCTGGCATAAACATTACGTTTGATGTTATATCACTCATTCTCTCTCTCTCTCTCTTTTTCACTATCTCTCATCCTCAGGCCTGTTTTATTCTCTTCTCTTCTGGCACAGTGAATCCCTGCAGTACTGACTCACCCATCTCTGTCATACTTCCAGTCTTTAAATATTCCTCCGTTTTCTCCCTCAATGTTCTTTCTTTTCGCTGCTTATATTCCTTGTCTAGTATTTTCAGGAGCATTAGTGTGACTTCAGTAAATTGTGAACATTCGTTCTGTTGCCGCTCATGCCAGATGAAGTGATAACGTCATTTGTGTTTGTCCTTTAGGCCCGAGCACACAGGCTTTGCACAGCCTTCAGACTAAAGTAGCAGGTCTTCATCAGCTAAGGCAGAGCAGGCACAGATTCAACGCCTTCCTGTTTGGCCTTCTCAAGTAAGCAAGAACTTTCCTCAGCCTAAAATCTAATTCATTTTTATTATTGACCTCTGTGTGTGTCACGATCACCAGCGAAATACAACCAGAGATCGATGGTAAATATACTTACATTCACTTAAACTACAAATCCGCCATGATATGGACTATAACACCCAGTCATGCAACACACAAACACAACCGGTTCCAGATCTGCACTGATTAGACTCTCACAACTGATGCTGCATTTGATACTGATTACTACACTACATAAGCAGCACAACACATTCAATGTGGCTGAGTCTTCTTATCTGTTTAGGTGACATTACAATGCGTTTTCTAATTCGTGGAGACCTGGAACCGGTTGTGTGTGTTGCATCACTGGGTGTTGTAGTCCATAACATGGCAGATTTGTAGTTCATGTGAATGTGATTGTTACCAGCGATGGTTGTGGATCACTGGGGATCGTGACACTGTGTATTGGCTGTGTATCCTTTTCTCATCTGATTTATTATTGCCCTCTTCCAATTTGTCATACAGTATCAAGCTTTTGGATTATTGGCTTTCCCATCTGCAGTCTTGCAGCGGTAAGTATTGACATTTAGTGGTATTGCTGGAAAATACACCTTAAAGGTATAGTTTACCCTAAAATAAAAATAAATGTTTTTATTTTATTGAGCCTCAAGTGGTTTCAGATCTTTAGGTGTTTCTTATTTTTCGATTAACCAAAAAGTACTTGGTAAGAAGTTGGTAAGCGGAAACCACTGACATCCATAGTGGAAAAACACACACTATGGAAATCAATGACTTTCGGTTGCTTTTGGGTTCAATAGAACAATGAAACTCATACATGTTCGAGGATGGGTGAGAGGAGATTTTAGGGTGAGATATGCCTTCTTTTTTGGACCAGAAATATGTTAGTAACAGTCTAAAAATGGTCTGAAATTGTAACAGAATGATTTAAAATCCATCAAAAATGATAATACTTGATAAGATGATAAGAACTTTCTGATTCTATAAAGTCATTTTCTGTTTGGAAATATAAGGGTCAGTCTGATAGATCATTCATTGAAGCATTACTTTTCAAGAAATAAATATTCAAAGAAATATAATCACAAAAGATAAAATTTGGTGTTGTAACAATATGTTCATGCTTGAGAAAGTAAAATTTTTCTATAAAATTTATTTCATGTTTTAAGGCTGTGTTAAATATTTTATCCAGTGCAGATGTTAATTTTATGTTATTAATATGGTCATATTTATTACATTTTCTGCTTTATGTGAACTATTTAATTATACTGTAGTTATCAGTGGTGGAAAGAGTACTGAAAAATTATACTTAAGTAAAAGTACCATTACTTGACTAAAAGTGTAATGCAAGTAGAGTAAAAGTATCTGTTGTAAATATTACTCAAAGTACGAGTAAAAAGTAGCCCTTTCAAAGAGTAGTGAGTATTATACTGTAAAAAGCTGATACTTTTACATGTCATTTGTGCATGTGTGTGTAAATGTAACATTCTGTAGTGCTTAAGAGCTATTCTGTAGTGTAAGATCTTAATGTTAGGTTAGATTTAGGTTGTGATGTCAGGTGACCAAAATTCAATGTCTAGCCAGCTTCTAAAGACAACATTATTTTGAAGTCCAATACTGACGTCAAATGACGTTGATATTTGGATGATTTTAGGTTGTGTTAGAAAGTGACCAAAATCCAACATCGAGCCAACATCTTAAATCAACGCCATATTGATGTCATGTTGACGTTTTTTGTCTGCTAAGGCCATTTCGGTCATCATACAGTAAACGTCTCTCATCAGTGACATACATCTAAACAGTCTCTGGGTCAACGCGTGTAAAGATTTTAGACATCTTCTTGGACACTTTTAATGCTTTCAAACAGTTTGCTGCAATTATAAATTGCCCATGTCTTGAGGTAGTTCAGTTTGAGGTGATTTACGTTCTATGTGCGATTGATTTGACAGGAATCACAGGACTGATTTTTCTAATACCCATAGACCAGAAAAAATAAAGCTGTGACTGCAGGTTGAAGAAAAGTATTGGAGTAAAAGTACCGATACAGCACCAAAAATGTACTCAAGGGAAAGTAAAAGTAAGCATTTATAAAACTACTTATAAAATTACAATTTCTGAGAAAACTGCTTAGTTACAGTAATCTGAGTATTTTTAATTTGTTACTTTACACCACTGTTAGTTATCGAATTATATGTCCTATTAATTTAGTTAAGTATTTGCCCTTCAAGGCTTAATATCAAATTTAAAGACTTGAAATAACCACAGACAATGAGCAAATGAGTTTAATAAACACTGAAAAATGTTTCAATGACTATACATACACAAATACAAATATTTCACATTTAATATATTACTTTTTTTTTTTAATAACTGTTTCTTTTTCAACAATGTAAAATGTTTCTTTCTGGTCTTTCCCACTGCCAAAATGACAAAGAAAGCTGATCCTGATTGGCCCTCGTGCGTGCATTCGAAATGCTGATTGGCTCACAGAAAGAACCTTATAAAGCCAAGCTAGAGTTCGACTTTGTAGATAAAACCTTTTTAGTTTTTGAAATAAAAAGTCCTAAAATGTAAACAACTTATAAAAAACCCATCACATAATATAAATAAGTTGTTATTTAATAAGAATATGTCAATAACTCAATTTTGACAAAAATGTCAGATAGAACCTTATAATTCTAAGGTGATAAATGGATGTCAGTCATGTAATACAGTATTTTACAGTACAGTTTTAAATAGTATGGAAAATTAATGTGTGTCACAAAGCATAATATTTTGGAGTATGCCAAAGGTACCAGGATGGTCTATTTCTGGTGGATTTTTAAAATTTGGATCAGTGCACACTCTTATAGCTAATTTTGGGCAAACCCCATTACTTTTGAGTAAGATTTGATTTACAGCCAAAAAGATTTGAACTTTTATGAAGATTTCTTTGGCTCTAAAGTTAATGATTTAGCAAAAATTTGAAACACTCACAATTGGCGGATCAGTGCTGCTGCTTTTCTCTCCAATAGAGTAAGAAATTAAATACAAATTTTAAGATGTTTACTGCGACAAGGTGCTTGATAGTCCAGTTAGCATATCAGGATGTGCATAACTATACCCCAGAGTGTGATAAAGAGACAGTTTTATGCATTGGTGGTTTGTTCCAAAGCCTATCTACTCTTCTGCTACACAAAGAAAAATTTCTTCTTTTATTCACAGAAGAGTGCATACTTTCAGGGCGTATTATAATTAGGTGAACTGGGACGCAGCACATGTGTCCGTTGTGTCAGACAGGGGACTTTAGAGTCTCAGCTAATGAGCTGATGAGTAAACCAGGTGTTTGACTGAGGAGATATGCAAAATGTGTCATTTAGGCAAACTTCAGGAATGTGATTTTGACTTCAATCCAAATATCTGAATTAAATTTATGCACAAAACTGGAATATTGCATAAAAGATTTGCAAATAATGCAGTGTTTCCCACTAATGAGTCAAAGAAAGTATTGTCTATTCCTGATAAGCTGCTGCCAAATATCAACAAGACAAATGGAATGCGGGTGTCTTTTTCTTTTTAATAAATGACTTGTTTCTCAAAAGTACTGTAAGACCACACTCTCGAGACAGTTCTGGAGATAATAGTACTGAACAACTGTGATGACGATTTTTGGATATGGTGTTTTAGAATGACTTAAACCGCATTTTAGATGATTTACACTGTTGATGTTTTACACAAAGCATATTATACACCTTTTTAAAATGTATGTGCATCTTGGCATTTTCTTGACACTTGGCTAAAATAGGTGGATGGAAATATAGACTATCAAATCAAATCGCTTTTATTGTCACATCATCAGCAGCACGTGTGCTATGATGAGTGAAAAGCTTAGGTGCTGGCTCCAGACAGTACAAAATACAGATAGAGCAAATACAACGACAGTGCAAAATACAGACAGTGCAAATACAACGACAATTTAAAATTGACAGCGATATGTACAATGAATAGGTGTCCACAAAGTTGTTGGCAGTATTGTTTTAGGTATGGATTGGTTAAAGTGAAGTGCATGCTACATGTTGATGGTGTGCAGTGAGGGGTATGGAAGAGTCTGTGTGTGTTAAGTGTTCATCAGCCTGATAGTCTGAGGGAAGAAGCTTTCCTTCAGCTGGCTGGTGCGTGACTGGATGCTGCGGAACGAGTGTAGCAGAGTCTGTCATAGTGATGTATCTTTATGGCCAAACTCAGAAATTTGCATTACTCTGGTTCCCTCAACCAAAACAGTATGTATACATTCCATCATCTATTGACTTATTGGTAAGGATGATCAAAGTACAAGTTTTATTGTCATGTGTACAGCGTCTAAAGCAGGGGTGGCCAACCCTGGTCTAAATCCTTTTAAAAAATCGTATAAACAGTGACTTTTGCATGTACTGTATTTGATTGAAATTCCAGAATTGTTCATAACTCTGCAAGCATTCTGAATAGCAGATGCTTATAACATTTTATCAAAGATAAATGCTTTTGTTCAAAAAGTAACTAAGTTCTGCCTGTTTTGCAAGAAACATGCAAGAATAAAGCTGCTGCTCTCCATGTTTTCTATTTTTTTCTGACAACAAAACACTTGAATGCCACAAGCTTGTGCTCACATCTTCATTTGAAGTAGGAAACTTGTTCATTTGTAGAAGTAGGAAATTTCCTAGTGAAGGCATTGTCAGTTTAAGCATTGTTACCCAAAAAGGTAAATGATTCTCATATATTTTGTTGATCAGGATTATTTTAACAGATTAATGTAATATTTATGAATTTTGAGGCCTATATGCAATTGGTAGAAGTAAAAAGCAAGGGTTTGGCTTGAAATGAACCATGTAGTCATGTGATTTGACATCAACTACACTAAGCTTCTGACAGCTCTAAAATCTTGAATTTAGAAAGTTGTATTAAATTTCTTTGAGCAAGGCTGGACAAGACAAACTACATATACGTAATGCTGTAGTTCCAGACTGATCTTACGAGGAAGCATAACTATTTTAACATTTTGTCGGTTTAGTAGCTAATTTGGTCGAGTTTAGTCATATATAAAGGTATGATTTTTAAAAGGAGACGTGGCACCCAACCCCGTCCCTAAACACAAACTTCATTGGAGTAAGGAGATCATACTAAATTGTACGAATGAGATCGTACAGATTCATATGAATTAGGCACTAAATCAAAAAATTACAAGTGGCCGTGAGATCGTGTAAGTAGTTCCCACTACCTGCACAGATGCCCTGTTAAAGATATAACAGCCCAAAACAATGACAACTTGGTAAATATTAGTATATATAGTAAAATATAGTAGCATATTATAGTTAAAGAAAACAAGTTGAGCTTACTCTAACCAAAAACAACCACAAAACTCAATATGAAAAATCTGCAGTATTTGAGCAAAATGGCCTTCACCAAAACCCATATATTTTGTAAGTGGAGTTCTTTTATGTTCTTCATTTAGGAGTAAAAAATATCAAAAACACAATTTATGAAATCAATAACCCAATGTTCCCCACTGGGTTGTTGAGAGCAAATTGTAAATGCAAATACTGTACAGTAAGTGCTGCACATTTTATTTTGAGTAATAAAATAAACATGCTGAACTAAAATTACTGAAAACATTAGATCAGAAAATAGGATTATAGTGATTTGGATGTTTTTCACAAGCTTTGCTATACAGAAAAAGCTTGTGATTATATAATAATTATATTAAAATATAACAACAATGAAGATTGTAGAAACAAGTAGTAGCACATGCAATATGCCTATTAGCAATATGGGCAAAATATTCACTGCTGATTGTAACAACTTATTATGATTTCATCCTTATCTGACATCATGCTGAATCATCTCAGTTACAGTAGATCAACATCTGAAATGTAACAACATCGTTTTAGGTAAAAAGGATTACAGCACACAATAAATTCTTCTTCTTCTGTGTAAAAGCCCTAAATGGTTATTTTTGTTGATATATTTTTTAAATGTCTAGTTTATTAAATATAAGATGATTTATTAAATATTTGAAAAAAAAATCATGGATATACTAGCAGGTTACAGAAATCAGACTTGCAATGACTCCACTGTTGCTTGATGTTCACATGTGCCAATAAAAAGCTTTTACTAAGATTTTTTGTTTAATAAATGTTAATATTTTCATCATATTTAAGTGCATATACTTTTTTTAACCACAATTGACTTGCTTCTAATAATTTCATTTTCACAGATTACATGGGGCATTTAGCACATGACTAAAAACCATTTTGACAGATGTAAACAGTAACAATGATCCTTTCATGTTTCCTGTTTTAAATTTTTAAATTCTATAGCTTCCGAGAATCCAAAAAGGTCTACATATTGATAAATAATGTTATGATGGCTGTTTTAATGTGAATTTATGTTTAAATTGCCTCTTGTTACACCTATAAAATACTTTGACAACAGGCAGGAAATGTTCATGGGCCAATGACATCATCACATTGAAACGGTCTATAGCTGTCAGCTGTCTTGTATTAATGATGTCATCGAGCAATAAATATTTGGAATGCAAGATAGTAACCACTCTATTGATCAACTGCCCTCAAGTTGTTAGGAGAAAAGTTAAATGAACTGTCCCCAAGTGTGGATGTAATACATAAAATGAGAGCTGTTGTAATTTACTGTATTACAATTTTTATTTTGTCAGTCAACTCCATTTTCTCTCTGTCCTGCAGATGTGCTGGAAACTTTTTATCGGCCTACTTCCTTCATGCGTCTGTCACTCACTTCTTGTCAGTCTCTTTTTGAGGAGCTTCTTCTCCTGCTCCAGCCTCTTTCTCTGCTGACCTTCAACCTGGACCTGCTGTTTCAGCATCATCACCTAGACCCTTCTTCTCCAACTCTCACCCCAGCCAGCCACACGTCTGACATATGCAGCCCACCAAATGAAGACTTCAGCTTCCACCTGTCACCCAAGGGCCTTTTCCATGGAGGTGTCCATCGTACTGGAAGCATCTTAGAGCAAGACCACAGTTTGAGTTTGGACACCAACCCTAATTCGTTTTTTTCGAGTCATGTTCTTGATGTGTCAGCATATCGCAATCCAATTTCTCTGTCATCAGGCATCAACAAAGAGGAAGCTGATCCGCCATTATCATGGTTTAACGGGAATGAGATCTCTGCACCTCTTAATGCTGGAAGTCTTTCCCAGCAAGCGGGCCAGGCTCTTCAGCAAGGCTGGGGGGCAGTCATGCGCTTGGGGGAGCGTTTAGGGCAGAACTTTGGTTTGGCCACCACTACAGAGAATGCGAATGGTCCTTACTCACCAGATAATTCCAAGACAGGCTACTCAGCAACACCAAGAAGCCCAGTTGAAAACAGGCAACAACCTAGAGAGGATCTTTCCCTGTGGGATAGTGGAGCTGCTATTCCTTGGGGTCTTGGACGGCTCTTTGGTGCTTCTAAGAGCCCCAACAACCCACCGACCACCAGGTTGGAGGATGTTTTTTTTTTTTTTAAATGCATTGTGAATCCAGAAAAGATTTTTCATTGAGATGCATTCGGAATGCATGGCGATGTTCTCCTGAGTCTATTCTGAGCTTAGTTTTTAACACCAGATGGTGCTTTACTGTATATACAGCCACATGGTCACATACCACTTCAACATAAAACGATCTTTAATTAAGTTAATGATTTAATAAAAAAGTTTAAGCGAATTACAAGAGTGTTTATAGTGACCTACAATAATCCTGTGGAATAAAAGCCATGGTGCAAGTACATTTGACCACTTAGGCCATGTCTACAGGTACACGGGTATTTTTGTAAATTGAGTTTTTCCTCCACTTTCAAAATAAAATCATGTCCACACATGCACAGTTTAAAAAAATCAGAAGAAAACACAAAAACGCCATATGAAGCACTGTCGAGAGCATGCCAGTGCAACAGGTGGCAAAGTGATCCTAACTGTAAAATCATGTTGGTCAATCAGAAGCCTCAAACAGTTATTGGCCCGGATTGGGTGTCATCTTGCATAGCACAACATTCTGATTTTTCTGTTTTGAAATAAAGTGGAATAATTGTCCTTATATCACTACATGTTGCTGTTAGCACAATTATTTGCTGAAGTATTTTGCTTACTTTGGCCATTGCACAGATGTATGTCTTGTAAACAATGACAGGCAATCTGATGTCACGCAAACAAAACGACTGTGCTGAAGATCAAACAATCTCAGTAAAAAAAAGTTTCAGTTTCAGGGACCTAGTACTGGGTTTCAATGTGAAAGAACAGCCAAACTGCAAGATGTGGTTTTAAATATAATTTGTGTTCTTGTGGACAGAGCCTTACAGAACATGAAAGCACATGCACTCGAGTGTACAATTTAAAAACTAGCCAAGAGCACCATCTGTTGGTAAGAAGAAGCTCAGAATCGATTTTAGAGAGAATCGTGATGCATTTTAACAAACTGAACATCAATCCACGACTCACTATACATCTATTTATCATCCTAGCCTTAGTTTTTTAACTTTAGCTTAGCTTAGCTTAGTTTGGTTCCGATTTTTTTTAGGTTTATTTATGTGAATAGGTGAATTATTTATGTGGCAGATTGTTTTATTGTCTTCTGTGCTGTTATTCTGACATAGGCGCCCATCTCAGTGGCTCTCCCCTGGTGTATCCGTCCTTTCCCGGATAGTGAATCTTAGCCAGGGTTCTCCACCTGAGAAAAGAGAGCTTCAGAGAAGCAATGATAAAGAGCAAGATGAGAATGAAAATATTAATGAACCAAGAGATCAGCCAAAGCCCCTAAGGTAAAGTTTCCATTAGGTTACTCTTGTTCTTCTTAACAGATTTCCATTCATGCATTTTAGAGGAATAATATTCAAATCTTTTTCTGCCTCTTTAAAAAAACTTTTAAATAAAATTATTTTGACGTCAGTAAAGTTATGCAACTTTTTTGTCTGTTAATTTATTAAGAAATGCATAGTGAACCATGTTTTCTATTATACCTACAGTGGATCCGGAAAGCATTCACAGCACTGCCCTTTATCCACATTTTTTTTTTATGTTACAGACGTATTCCAAAATGGATTAAATTCATTTATCTCCTCAAAACTCTACACACAATACCCCCTAATGACAATGAGAAAAAAGGTTTTTTTGAAATTGTTACAAATTTGCTAAAAATAGAAACCCTGAAAAATCACATGTTCATCAGTATTCACAGCCTTTGCTCTAAATTGAGATCAGGTACATTAGCAGCTTAATTGGAGTTCACCTGTGGTAAATTCAGTTGATTGGACATCATTTGAAAAGGCATACACCTGTCAATATAAGGTCCCAGGGTTACCAGTGCATGTCAAAGCCCAAACCAAGCATGAAGACAAAGGAATTGTCTGTAGACCTCTGAGACAGGATTGTCTCGAGGCACAAGGCTGGGGAATGTTACAGAAAAATTTTAACTGCTCTGAAAGTTCCAATGAGCACAGTGGCCTCCATCATCAGTAAGTGGAAGATATTTGGAACCACCAGGACTCTTCCTAGAGCCGGCCGGCCATCTAAACCGAGTGATCGGGGAAGAAAGGGAGGTGATCAATAACCCGATGGTCACTCTGTCTGAGCTCCAGAGTTCTTCTGTGGAGAGAGGAGAACCTTACAGAAGGATAACCATGTTGTGCAGCAATCCACCAATCAGGCCTGTATGGTAGAGTGGCCACAGAAAAGCCACTCCCCGCCTGGAATTGGCCAAAAGGCATCTGAAGGACTCTCAGACCATAAGAAACACAATTCTCTGGTCTGATGAGTCTAAAATTGAACTCTTTGGAGTGAAGGCAAGGTGTTACGTTTGGAGAAAACCAGGCACCGCTCATCACCAAGCTAATACTATCCCTGCAGTGAAGCATGGTGGTGGCAGCATCATGCTGTGGGGATGTTTTTCAGCAGCAGGAACTGGAAGACTAGTCAGAATAGAGGACAAGATGAATGCAGCAATGTACAGAGACATCCTGAATGAAACCCTGCTTCAGAGTGCTCTTGACCTCAGACTGGGGCGACGGTTCATCCTCCAGCAGGACAATTACCCAAAGCACACCGCCAAAATATCAATGGAGTGGCTTCAGAACAACTCGGTGAATGTCCTTGAGTGGCCCAGCCAGAGCCCAGATCTAAATCTGTTGAACATCTCTGGAGAGATCTGAAAACGGCAGTACACCATTGCTTCCCATCTTAAGCTTATAAAGCTTGAGAGGTACGGCAAAGAGAAAATCCTAAAGACAGGTGTGCCAAGCTTGTGGCATCATATTTAAAAAGACTTGAGGCTTTAGTTTTTGCCAAAGGTGCATCAACAAAGTATTAAGCAAAGGCTGTGAATACTTATGTACATGTGATTTTTCAGTTTTTTGTATTTTTAATAAATTTGTGACAATTTCAAAAAATATTTTTTTACATTTTCATTATGGATTATTGTGTGTAGAATGTTGAGGAAATTAATGAATTTAATCAATTTTGTATAAGGCTGTAACATAAAAAGAAAATGTGGAGAAAGTGAAGCGCTATGAATTCTTTCCGGATGCACTGTACCTACTATGTATATATCATAGAACAATTTAACTTATTAAATCAATGCACTTTATGACACTGTTAAAATGATTATTCAAACTTGTTAATAAGTATTTCAACTGACTGGAATTAACTTTACACTTTTAAATTTGGTTTACCTCTATTTGCTGACAGAAAGCACAATTCCTTGTCTCTGAAACGTCATTCTGAGTCTTGTTTTCTGGTTTGTCAGGGTGGTCAGAACTCTGTGTGATCACACTGGCACTGGGGCCGAGCTCAGCTTCAGGAAGGGAGAGGAGCTTGTTCTGTTGGGGGGTGTCGACCACGACTGGATTCGATGTCGCCAAGGTCACCGAGAGGGCCTTGTTCCCATTGGTTATGCTTCACTTATCATGTGACTTATCTTTATTCTGCCTGTATGTTTGTGTGAAAGAATATCAGGGGATCACATATACGGAAAACAAGACCATATATAGACGTAGGTATTAGTAGCCGTGTTTAATGTTTCTCTTTGACCCTCATTGCCTGGTTTGTGAAGTCTGGAATATTTTCTGTGATATATAAATATATATATATAGGAAATAACTCGCTATGAATTACTGTATAAATCTTAAATATATATTTAGATTTTACAAAGATAGATAGACAGATAAACAAGAAATAGAAATGGCTAATACTTAAGAGTCAAGTTTAACATGAAATAAAATCATCATATTGTATTTATTATTAGGTGTTCTGCCATACAAAAAACCCGGCTTGGCCAGAAATGCACTTAAAAGCTCACTGAAAAGTTATAGAAGAAACTGTATATTCATAAAAGCATTTCATTATAATTTTAAGTTCAATAAAACAACCAATATGAATATGCAAATGCTTTTTTTACATCTGTAAAACCCCTTAAATTTCTTGTCCTATCATCAGCCCAGTGATGTGTGGTAAAGATAAGCATGACTTTATTAGTGCAAAGGCATGAGTTTTGGGGCTGCGTTAGCAAATAAATGGAATATTTATTCAAGATAACTGATAAAACAATTAATATTTTGGATTTTTTTATTATAATCAAGCTATTTAAAAAGGGTTTATTGATTAATCAATCTATAAACTAATTGCTTGACCATTTATTCCTCAAAAGATGTATACTTCTGAATTATACACCAAAAATGAATACATGAGTTTTTGGTGTTGCCTGAAGATTTCTTAATATACACCCCTTTATTACCTCACTTCCCCGAAAAAAAGAAAGTTCCTCTTTAAATACCGTTATTAATAGTCTCTTATTGTTATTATTGTAACTCTCAATGGTAACAGTCAAATATATTAGCGTGATAGTGTGTAGATGATTCTTTTATATTTCTTACTGTGTGATGGCTAGTGTGGTAAGATCTGTATCACCATGAGCTTGATAGTGACTATGCATATTCTGTTCTGTACTGTTTATGAGGCTTGTTGCTGGGGAAAACGTATATATGATTGAAAGAATTAATGATTTTCTTTTGAATAGATATTCTGCATCAGTATACTGCTTTGTCGGAGGGTTTACATGCTAAACCTGCATGTGTGTGTGTGTAGCAAATGTCAGGTAATCATCAATAAAACTTTATAAGCACTGATACACTCAGCTAAACTACTAATGCTAAAGATATAAGCCATGATTTTGGTGGCTGCAGATGGAAAGGTGATTTAAAGTGCCCCTTTTATGCTTTCTTTTGGTCTCTTGAGGTGTGTCCCAAATTGCATAACTATCCACTATCCTAAGTCACTTCGTAGCATAAATAGAGCATTCACACTGTAATAAGTGCACTCAAAAGGACTGGATGATGCACATATTGAACCGATTAAAAAAGTGTGGAATGTTGAATATTTCATGCACTCAGCGGCTGCAGATTTGCTCATGTAGCGGAAAAGGAGGAGCTATCTGACGCTGAGGTCCCATTGGTGAATGGCTGTACTCATGATAGGAGCTATTTGGTAGTTTGGTCATTTATATCACTACTTTCAGCAACCGTTAAAAGTTGAAACAATGATGATCCATTTAGGATGACCTTAAACTCATAGCTTACACTACACGGTTGAGTTAATAGCATATAGTGTGTAATTTGGGTAACAGCTTTTGTTTACATCTATTCATGTTTATATAGTTCATTCAAGAAAACAGTCCACATTTTTTATAAGCCTTCTCTTTCTAATTGGTCAAATGAACCACTCTGCTATGATTGGTCGAATGTTTGCTGTTTAGTTAACATATCTGAATTAGAACTTCTGATTAAATTATTTATTATATCAATTTGAGCCTGGGTCCTCATCATTTTGAGGTGCATACAAAGTGTACTCCCTTTCACTTTCAGCTCCAGCTTTCACTTTTCTCCAGGCCTCAGCTAACATTACTGTGTTTAAGTAGACATTGTTTGCAGGCTAAAATTATGCAAATCTGTTACAAACATGCCTAGATTTGTGCAGAACATAAAGCTGCGATTTATATATATATTTTTTTATTTAGGAGACATTGGGCTTTATTTTAACGATCAAGGCACAAAGTCTAAATCGCATGGCGCAAAAGCATTAACAGTGTGTCCAAATTCACTTTTGCTTTTTTAAGGATGGAAAAATACGATTTGTGCCTCGGCACATGGTCTAACAGGATTGTGCTTATTCTCTTAATGAGTTATGGGTGTGTTTTGACTAATCAGAGTCTCATACCATTCCTTTTAAGAGTCAGTTGCGTCGCACCATGGTGCATTTGTTATTTACATGGCGGACATGTAAGAGGTAAAACTGAATGCTTCACTAGTAAGAAAACAGTTAAACATATCATCTGCGGCACGAAGATAAATAACTAGCCTCCTCCATTCGGCCTCTTTACTTTCTCTTTAATTTTACTCTTCACTTTACTCCTTCGTGGAGTCAGGTAACGGTGTTGTACGCAATCTACTGAAGACATCCATTACCCTACATATATAATTTTTTTTGTTAAATGCAAAGATTTGTTTCAAAACTCATTCTAAATTCAGTTGTAATTTCCAGCAAAGGAATAAATGAGCAATAATAACCAAGTGTGGTGAGTTATATCCAAACACACGTCCTACTCTTATGCCCCATATAGTGATGCATACGTGTCCAAAACCCAACAGGTGTACAAATCTAAACTTGTTTTTATTAAAACGAATATAAAAATGCATATAATAAATAATACTGCTAATAATAATAACATACAAATGTAAATTGTCATGTATAAACTAAAAAAAAAGCCCTCCGACATGAACAAATGGAGGCAGTGGTTTTTATATTTATGTAGAAAACTATATTTTTTGTAACAATTTAATCCTTTAGTTTTTTTATTTTTATTTGTAAAGATATTTGTTTATTGCTGTACTTCCCGTGTGTATTAAACCAATGTGTAAGCATTCGGACCATATAGGTGCATAACTAACGTGCTCTGCGCTGGACTTTAGGCCTGTTTTCAGCTGGTCAATTGCATCTATTTCAGTTCCTCAAAACAGCAACGCACCAACAATATGCTCTAACACACCTCTGTTTTAGACCAGCAAACCCATGAGTCCTTAATGTGGACCAAAACTTGGTGCAAAACATAACAATTTGGGTTGCGCTATTCTTAAGATATCAACAAATCCCACCAAAAATGTCTTGCCTATTGCGCCAGCTGTACGATAAGGCCCAATAACTCCTTTTATAGTAACTTGAACATTTTCAAACAGCTTCATTAAACACCCATGAAAAGTAATATCTAAAAATACATAATGGAGGCCCTTTAAATGACTTTTCTGTATTTGCCACTTCTGAATGCTTATGTGTCGTAAACATGTTCATTATACTTCAGGTTGGTATTGTTTTCAGCAAAGCTGCTAAAAAAATCTGACAAATGAACTATGAATCTTGCCACATTAACACTTTTGTTCATAACAGCACATTCTGGACAATTACATTCAATAGCAGAAAAGCAGTTGGATACAGTAGCAGGAAAATCACAAAGCACTGAGCATTCACATTGTATGTATAATGTATGAAAGCTTAAAACTGAAACTTAATGTCTGGAATTTGTGTATTTATGAGTGTCAAGGTGCAGGTTGTGGCAGTTTTCAGAATATGATTTAGAAGTCATATTTTAAAAAAATCAATGGTAGAACTTAGCTTTGTGTTTTAGCTTTAAAATTCCTGTTTAAAAAAAGAAGAAAATATAACCAAATTAGAAGGTTACAGAGTTAAGCAAGCAGCAGAGGTTTAGTAGGGAGAGAAAAAAAATCCTATTTTGTGTCATATAGTCTTTCCTCACAGGGCAAACTGCAATGATGCATGACCTTAATACAATTTTATTTGACATTGTTGTTCTATTATCATTTCAGATTCAGTTGATTATAACTGTGCATTTTAATTGTGACATCTGAATATCATTAGTATGTTTTTGAAGAAAGAAGTGTTGCATTTTAAATATAGTGTACTTATTGTTTGTGGTTAATTCTACCAGTTGATCTGCTTTTATCTGTTCCTCTTGTCTATCTCTCTATCTATCTATCTCTTGTGTGTGTGTACTTTTGTGTGGTAATGAGTTGCGTAGTTCTGTGTGGTATTGCTCATCGCTAGTAGCACACTTAAAGCATTATATGTACTGTACCAACTCTTGAGTTCTGTAATTCCCTGTGAATCAGCTCTATGCATGTTGGTGTTTGTAAATATACTCAATAAAACATTAAAAGAAACAGTGTGTAAGTGTGGTTATGATGATGTGTGGTTTTTTATGGCTTATTAGCACTGGGTTAGTTCATTCTAAAATGACCATGCACTCATAATAAGACATGTAAACATTTACCAGCAAACATGAAAACATTTTTTTTTATCGTACCTGTTTGATATGCATAAATTAATTCCTTTGCCAATGTTTATATATGAATAAAGGTGAATAAAGCCCTACATAAAACCTTTTCATCTTAGTGATTGTTTCTTCTCAGAAGGCTTGATTAAACCACTAAATTAATATAGATTTATTTATTCATTTAATTTTGTTTCTTTATGAATGTTTTACGGTGTTTCATAATAAAATACAGGACTTAACTAAGCATAGTTCAACACAAAGAGTTGTGTACATAGAAATTTCATGCCATGAGTCTTAAACACCATTGTTTCCCTATTGTCATGTAAATCCTGTGCGTAAAATCCCAGTGGAAAACAAACCGATCAGAAAAGCTTGGCACACCTGTCTTTGGGAGTTTTTGCCAATTCCTCTTTGCAGTACCTCTCAAGCTCTATCAGGTTGGATGGGAAGCGACGGTATACAGCCATTTTCAGATCTACCCAGAGATGTTCAATAGGATTTAGGTCTGGGCTCTGGCTGGGCCACTCAAGGACATTCACTGTGTTGTTGTGAAGCCACTCCATTGATATTTTGGTGGTGTGCTTTGGGTCATTGTCCTGCTGGAAGATGAACCATCACTGGAGCTCAGACAGAGTGACCATCGAGTTATTTATCATCTCCCTATCTTTTCCTCCGATCACTCGGCTTAGATGGCCGGCCAGCTCTAGGAAGAGTCCTGGTGGTTTCAAACATCTTCCACTTACTGATGATGGAGGCCACTGTGCTCATTGGAACTTTCAGAGCAGCATACATTTTTCTGTTACCTTTCCCAGCCTTGTGCCTTGAGACAATCCTGTCTTTGAGGTCTACAGATAATTCCTTTGTCTTCATGCTTGGTTTGTGCTTTGACATGGACTGTCAACCCTGGGACCTTATATTGACAGGTGTATGCCTTTTCAAATCATGTCCAATCAACTGAATATACCACAGGCAAACTCCAATTAAGCTGCTGAAACATCTCAAGAATGATGAGCGGAAACAGAATGTACCTGAGCTCAATTTAGAGCTTCATGACAAAGGCTGTGAATACATCTTTACATGTGACATGTGAATACTTATGTACATGTGAAATCGAGACATGCATTAGCTATGTTGTCAATAAGTAAAAAAAAAAGCATTTTTATTTATTTACAGTTGTCAGAATGCAAAATTTAGGAAAGACGGATTATAAGTTTATTTAGCACCACCCAAAAGAGGCATAAGGTCTGTTTGACTGCATGTTTGGTTTAATGTGTTTACTGTGAAATATTTGTTCGTTTGTGTTTGAGCCACCAAGCACGTGTGCATTTATAATGAAAAAAACAGAGACATGTACATGGTTGAATAAGTCATGTATTTTTCTGAAGAGAAAGGATGTAGCTTTAGTATCAATCATTCATTCGTTTATTTACGAACCGCTCACTTATCCAGCAAATGTTATATATATATATATACCAAACCAGCGACCTTCTTGCTGTGAGCTAATCGTGCTCCCACTGACGTCCTCCATCAATCATTATCATCTAAAATTTATTAAATAAATACATTTTAAAAGGTAAAAAAAAAAAATGTATGTGAAGATCTTCAGAATAATACCTTAATACAATATTAGAAGTACCACTGAAATACATACAGCATGCTAAATTTTATTTGTATTCAGGTTTTTAAGCTTTTATTTACCCCTTAAAAAAAAAACAAGCGATTTAAAACATGTAGTTTTGGGATTGATAAAGATCTTATTTCACACGTTTTTCACGAGTTTTAATCCCTTACCACAAATGTTTTACAAATAAAAAATTGTTTATGTCAATTAAAATGTGTATCACTGCCCTCTTGTGGCACATGAAGAAACCTTTCAGTTTTGTACTACTGCCCATATTGAAGAGACTGTAAAAACAAAATTATTCCAAGAACAAGTTTATTTTATTACACAAATTGACTGTCTATCATTTCATAAATTTCTAGCCAGTAGTGCATAAACTAGACATATTTACAAAGCTAGACATTCCATAATAATAATTGTAAGTGGTAAAAAAGCACTACAAATACAAAGTATGAAAGTAAGAAAAAAAACTGACAAAGAGTTCTAATGCAAAAACCTTTAAAAAAAAATGCCATCTGAAAATTCCACTTCGAGGTTTTTGCATCTGAACTCTCAAATACAAAATCTAACGTTTTATAACAAAGTAGATTACCAATTTTCTTTATTACAAGGATAACATATTATATGATTTATCATAACATATTTTTAATCACATATTGTATTATTAAATATATTTAGATGTTTAAATTTATATTCATTAATTCATGTTCTTTTTAGTTTACTAATCAGGGGTCACCACTGTTCACTGTTCACCCCAATTCACATATAGCGCATGTATTTTGACTTATGGGAGAAAGTGGAGCAACCGCAGGAAACCTCGATCATGGGGGAGAACATG